TTTTTTAATAAACTAATTCAGTCATTCTCAAACCCCTAATATGCTTCTTTCCCATTTAAACATGGGACCAGTGATGGTTCTTAACTGGAATTTTCTAAGTAAAAGGAAAAGAACCACTGAGAAATTCTGAACATTGATAGGTAGCCACAATCCAAAATTTTAGAACACTGGAAACACAGACGTTAACCAGCTTTCAGCAGCTCATCGGAAAGCCACTGAGCAGAAATAAATGATGGCTAAATTATACCTTGTTCAAAAGAATTTATATTTTTCTTCCTATACATGCCAATATTTAAAAAGAAAATTTTAAGAACAACGAACAACATTATCTTTACTGAATTTGTGAAAAGTTACATTATAAAGCGTAACTGAGGACTTTTCTTTCCCTGCGGAGCACTATAGCCACCGAAGGTCAAAAAATAGAGTCTGGTGAAATGAAACTCATTTTAATTCTTCAGATTAAATCACATCCACAGTAATGTTCAGTTCCACTGGCATGAGCAGTCTATAGGCTCTTGAATGACGTACATAATTTCAGTGCCATTTCCTGAGCAGCGTAGTGGCACAGTCAGATTACGTGTTCCATTTTCTCGACAGCATTTACAGAATCTTAAATGGCTATCAATATTGACATTGAAAATTGTTGCAGAGGGGCATTTTCCATCACAAGAAGCCACTTTTATCTATGAGTAAAAGAAGAACCGAAGTTAGACATCTCAGATTTTGTTATAAAGATAAATCTTTCTTTGTAATATTCTTCGCTGTAGTCAGTACCATGTCTTTACTTTCTCATATTGCTGTCCCTAGGTTGTTGAAGTAACTGTGAAGCTCTCCACAGTCTTCTCTCAACTGGCAAACAACTGTAATTTCATCTATATATTTATACTCCCTCTTTACCAACCCTTCTAAAACTAAATAAGTACACCACACACTCTTGCTTCTACTAGTAAACTTTGGGCATGTCACTTTTGACCTTCTATCAGGATGGAAATTAACCTGATCAGCTTTCAGTCTGTGATGGTATTTTGCCTCTTCCCTTATGACTCTTAAGGTTCTTCAACAGAATCTTACCAGAAGCCTTTTGGAAGTCTTGAGATATTGTGTTGATTGCTTCTCCTTTAAGTGCTACATGAGAAGCACATTTGCTGCTTGGACATGTCCTGGGTTTTGTAGATGGGGCTACACCAGAGTTGAGAAATAAGATGTCTTAAGCAGACTCATAGGTAAATGGGATCATAAATTTATGATATGGAGACACTTGCTATGTGGAGGAGAAGACACACAGAGAGTAAAGGTCTTCACAGAGGAATGCAGCAATGTTTCCATCACATTCTAAGTGGGAGCATTTCTACTCCACTTTTGGAGTGGGATGTTATTTCATGGTGAAGAGTTCAACGCCTGTGTTAGTTACAAGCAGTTATGCTGTGTACTTTTCATTTGAAGCCAGATGTTTTTCCAGGTAGGAGGGCTCAGTCTTTCAGCCATAGGAACAGCTAATTTTACTTCATTTGTGAGTAGGATAACATTCCTAAGGTCAAAGGTCTGCTTCTCAGAAGACAGCAGCATTTTTTGTTGCTGGTTGATAGCTATAACCCACGTCTTAACACTTGATTTGGTATGCTATAGGCCCAGCATCAAACTCGGGTCTTTTATGCTTACCGGGCTTTGACTTATACAGTCATTTTTTCTTATGGTTGTCCTGATGGTCATTTTCTGGCAAATCCTTTCTTCCTTTTTGCCTGATAAAATACAGAAAATGCATACTGAATCAATTCACTTTTTGCATGGTATTTGCTACTAAAAAAGTGAAAATATTAAAATAATTTTAATAGTTATACTTTATTTTCATTAATGTACACACTGAAACTGTACTTCCATAATTAAATAATTTTTTTAGAAAACAAATCTCATATACTAATTAATACTTTCTGTGCAGAATTATCAATTTTATAGCTGGTACATATGAGGCATCAAGTGGTTCATTAAGCTATACAGACTTTATTAAAACATTAATATGATTTCAAATTGCACATATGGCAAGACAAATATAAGCAACTAGAAAAAAGATGTCTCAAGTAATATTGAATAGTGTTAAAATTAATTTTGTTTTAATAGGAATATTGAATGTAAATAAGATTTTGATTCTGCATTTTAGAAGATTTTCAGAATTTAACATTTGAAAAGGTAAAGCTTTGTGAATGTGATTCCAACCTTGATGCTATTTTGAATGTTTAAAATTTAAATAGAACTAAATAATTTCAATATATTTTTGAGAAAGGTGTCCTTCGGGGAAGCTTTGGAAGAGAGAGATGCATGTATTTGCTAAATATGGTGCAGTTCTTATCACCAGAACTGAAGCATGTAGCACAGTCAGCATACAGATCTAGAATTAGGGAAATACCGCATTTTTAAGTACCTTCTGGGAGATACTGGTAGAAGCTTTTTTCTTTTATTTGAAAAATAAAGCTGTACAGTGCAAAGCCATTTTTAACATAATAAAAATCATAATATAATGCTGAAACAATTAAACGTACAATCTTTCATGCTGCTCTCCATATCAGACTGCTATTACTATCTGTGTAACAGGAATTACTTAGATCTCCTATTTCACTCCCCATCAAAATCATCTCTTGGTTTTGCTACACAACCATTCTGGACATCCAGCATATAAAGCAATAAGCACTATACAGCAGAGTTTCTCCACCTTCAGCACATGCCTTCATGGTTGGGTGTACACAAAAAGAACAACTTTTCTGGTCCCCAGAAGCTTGTGAGCAATTTTATAAGATAAATGAGCTCCAAGTAATCAAGATATTCTGCAACCACAGCTCCAGTGGGTATTTAAAACTTAGGCTCGCTGCTGAGTACAGCTAGGTTTTAATCTGCGCATTGCAGGATCAAACAAGATTCCATTACTGAGCCAGCAGATCACTGTACGATCAAAGCTGTTAGCCTACAGCATCTTGGTTTTCCTTCCTCAGCAAGACTTCAAAAAAGAAGTCCTGTGATATTTCCATCAGAAAGCACTTGCCAGCATGAGTATGTGTAGACACCGCAAGCTTTGTACTTCTACAAGTCATATAGAGATATATAACATTTCAGTGTATAAGGTGCTGCTGTCTAATGAAAACTCTGTTGCTATACTTTTCTCTTTCCCACCTTCAACTGACAAGATCTGCATTCAGTATCATGTGTGCTTTTTTTACTCCTTATTTCAGTAAGGAGTTTCTGTGACTTACCTATCCTTAAAAGCAAAGAATTATGATCGTAATGCAACAGTTCTGTAACGTTCTGTAATTTCTGGTGTAAAGAGTATTTATTAACATGTGATTGGAACTGTATGTTTCCCCACCCCCCCAACATTTTCATAACTTTGTAAACACATTATTTGTGACAAAGAAACACAGCATAAATCCACATCTGCGAAGGTGAGACCAGGCAGTAATGCACACGCTTGCTCTATTTTAAGGCAAAAACAGTTCAGTCATTAAATTCAGAGACCTGGGATCAGATTTAGAATCTCTTGGTAACAGTATTCAGGATGATGATATTTTTTAAAGTAACATGTCTTACTACAACTACGCTACATAGTAAGTCCACATATTAAAACCAATTTCAGAAATGAACAGGAGGAAGACCCATCAGCAGCATATATGATGAATGGATGGACCTAATTCTGTCAGGTGCTGAGCAGTGAACCCTAACCAGGCTTTAGGAAACCACTGATCTGGGAGGCCAACAGGGGATCAGTGTCTCTCAGTATCAGGCCCAATACCATTAACTGCATGGTAACATTTAATGGTGATGACAGCTATACGCGTATATCAAGCACTGCTTACACTATTAGTAAAAAAAGAAAATACATTATTAAAAATAATACCTGGTTCACAATTAATACTATCAGTAGGCACTACTGGACTAATGGCAAAGGGTAATAGACCCAATCCAGAACCTGGCAGAATCATTAGGAATATAAGTTTCTCATGAAATAAAAACAGTTTTATATAAATGACATTTCATTAATTCTTACACTGCCAACTGCAATTTTTCTTTTAGCAAAAGATGGTGAGCTTTCCTGTTAGTCTGCCAAATTTAGAAACTGCAGCTGCTTCAAGTCTCACTAAAGATGGCCTAAACTTTATTACTCTCCTGGTTAACACAAAACTGGAATGATGCTTCCTTGTAAACCAAACTCTTGCAATGAGTCTCTCTATGGCAAGGTAAGAATTAAGTATATGCACTCACTTCGCATGCATTGAATCAAGCTCTTTGAGAAAGATTATTTGTTCCCATTAAAACCCCAAGGTGTTGCAAGCTCTATTTATAAGTACTCTTTTTAACTGCTTCACCACAGGGCACATGCTTTTAGTTAAAAATAAAACAAAATAAAAACAAAAACAAAATAGCATGTCATTGTATGAATTATATCTGGATTTTTAGCAGCCATCTCAGCAAGTATTTCTGAAGTATAACGATGCCTTTCCTGAGGCCACAGAATACGGCCAAAATTATAAATCTTCTTGGTCAACAGAAAAATAGTGGCCATTAATTTAGACTAATTTTCTACATAAACCCAACCTGATTTGAGGGGGTTTATTGTATATTTTTCAACAAAGCTTATATTATTAAAGAATATTGATTAATGAGATTTTAGCACAATTCTGGTGTGTTACTTTTCTCTGCTGATTCTCGTTTAAAAAAATATTCTGTTGTATTAAAATAGTTTTTATTTTCTATGTTTTGGATACAATAGAACAACAATACTTGCAGTTCACTTTCAAAGCTTTGCATAACTTGGAAACCTGAGTATTGTTCTGTAATTGATAAATAAGAGTATTTCCCCTTGTATCACCAAATTATTTACAATACGTTGCACTTCTGAATTTTAGTTAATAACTGCAATATATTATTGTAAGTCTGTGACTTCCTATTCAATATTGTTAAGTAAAGGTTTGTCTAAAAAAATTCCAAAGACTGATTTGCTTATATATTTTAACTCTAATGTTGAACACAAAAAAAGCCAAAAAAGATGAGGGAGGATTTTCTGTGGCGCTCGACAGGTTCTTGCTCTACACAATTAGTTTTACACAGGAGTGTTTTATTTCTATATATACATGATTATACACCTTGATAAAACATTTCCTAGTGAAAACTGCAGAGAAAATCCATTTGTTCTCAATTGACTTTTAAAATTCTGTAAATTACAAAACTTTTATATGAGCTTGCATCACAATTCATCGTATTTTAAAGTTGCACACTCAGAAAATGTGAATGTATTCGCAGATATTAAAAAGTCAATTTTATATAAGTGTTGCTAATATCAGTATTACTATAACTTTTCCTCATTTGGGAATTAAAAAAAAAAATCAGTATTTTGGCCCTAGAAAATATATACTAGTGATACAGAATAAATTGGTAAGTTTGGAGACATATTTCAAAACGTCATCAAATTAGGAATCAATTTTAGGGAGGAAGATCCTTATCTTTTACAGTGAAAATCATATAGGCAATATTTTAATTGAGATAACTTTTCATCTTCCACAGGTTATATTTGGAGAGATTTGGTTATACTCCAGAACAATGTTAACAATCACCAAGTCAGCAGCCAAATGAAGCAAGACTTCTTAATAGGAGTAGTTAGGTAACTATAACAATTTTATGTGATTTGTGGGGGGACTGCATGCTTTTTCCTTCTTCATGTCCCAGCAATTGAGGTTAAAAAACAAGCCCTCCAAAACCAAGCCAAACTAGCACATATTGCAGCCTTCATCACTTACAGGTCTTGCAGCAGCCATCATTATACGTCTGCACAATTCCTCCATTCTAGGAAAATAAAAGGAGAATATATCAAAAAAGACTGTGTCCAATGCAAAGGTGAATTGCATCTCAAGACATTCTATGTTTTCAAGATGTCCTAATAACAAATAACATCACTGAAATCAAGAGAATTTCACAGATATGATCAGCTGAAGGTTTGGTTCACAAATTCTTTACAACCTTTGACATTGAAAACGAACTTCATCACTGCTTATCTGATCTGATCTAGTCTCCTTCAAATAAGCCACTTAGTTTCTGTGAGCATCTTTTTATATCATCCACTACCATCTATTTCCCCCACCACTGAGATTTATTAGGATAGTTGAAAAAATTCATATATGCAACTTTGCTGATGATGTAAAAGGATTTACACTGATCATATGGCAAGGAGAAAATTAATGCCTAATAAGTAGCTCTTAACAATACTAAATATATGTAAGTATATATATACACTTTTGAAAGAGAACATTAACTGCAGAATTTCAGAACCACTGGTGTGCTCAATTCTTTTTCTCAATTATAGTCTCTCTTACTCATTTCTTCTAAAGTTGCCTGTTAGCTCAAAATTAAAAATGTATAAAAGTGAAGAAAATGTCCTTCTGAAATTAAAAGAGGGCATGAAAGGGAGAGAGAGACAGAGAGAGGCTGTCAGAATCCATCAGAATGGGTACAAGCAAGAAACACACGCCCACCATTTTAGTGCATAGCCCAGAACAGCGTATCAAGCAGAAAACTGGACATAATTAGCACTTTTATGATAACAACAGACAAAAAACATTTTCAGCTTCTATCTTTTCATGCTAGCTTGCATGTTTTATCTCATTACAGAAAAAATACTGAGTAAGTTGTTCAAGAACTTCTTAAATGAGCACTTAAACTCCGCCTCTTAAATCCATATCCCTAAATTATCCTGAGCTGCCTGTCAGAAGAGCTTTCTCCTTGGCTACTGGCTACTGTCTATGCTCAGTATCTCTGAAAAACAGGACAGACTGAGTCAGGAAGCTAATTTTAGGGCTCCATTCTTTAAAATCTTAACTATTGGTACTAAGGAAAGATCCTAATAGACAGTGACAAAAGGATTCCAAGGAAGAAATGCAAGCACAAAGTCAAAGTAGAACAAGCATTAATTTTAGATAGAATGCCTTCTTCAGGATTGGAAGAAATAAGGTCTGATTTAAAAAAATGCAATGGATAAGTAGGACTTGTGCTAAATTTATAATCTGTAGTCAAGGCAGCAATGGTACTTACCCTCTCTAAATGTATATATATTTTATTATTATTTGCAGCTTATATTAAATACATGGCATACTGCAAGTGTAAGAATTATCAGAAGTAATGTAAAATTAGCAAAGTATTAAATTAGAAATTAAAATTGTAAACAAATATGTAATGTAGGTGAAGCATCCACATTCTTCAAACCAGTTTATATGGGTATGCCAAATTTATGTTTTTAGATATATGATGTAGGTGGATACCCTTTCTTGTATGATAGATATTTTTGTTATGTTATACAAATATATATACTCAGTCATCTTTCTAATCTGTGCACAGCTTACGGCATTTTTAGTATAGCCCACTTCTATATGCAGCATTTCTGAATTGCTTGATCCAATTTGTTTAGTGTATGTGTACTACAAACTTGGTAAAGTGTTACTCCAAATAGAAGTAAGACATAGTGATGAGCACTTTATATAGTGGTATCTCAAGCATGATTCCAGTTCCACAGTACTTTAAAGTCAATCATTAAGACCCAAAACAAACTTTCATACTGCTCACAGATATTTTTTCAGTCAAAAAGCAAACAGGAACATAGAAAACAAGACTGTAAGTTGCTCACTTGCATGGTTTTACTTACCACTTCTTCAGTTTAAAGAAAGTGCCTAAGGTATGCATGTGTTGTCAAGTGTAAGCCAAACTCCAGACCAGTTATTGTCACTTACCTCACCCAAAGTACAAACCTTTGTACACTCAGTGTCATTAAAGGGGGGGCAGACAACACTTGATCCCAGTATGATAGCCCCCACAGCAGTCTTTGCACACTTGTAGTTGGTGCAGTTGGAGCTCCAAGTGCTTCCTTCCTGAATATATAAAACAAAACCACTGTCAGGAAAACCAAAATATTTCAGCTTTATCTCCAACCCTGAATGTCTGTAAAAGTGGTGTCCTCATGCTGTAGTACCTACTGGAGTGGAAAGTTTGTTGTAGACCACCCACAGGCAGCAAAGGGAAAGACCATCCTCTAACTACCACTTGCTAGTCCTCCCTGGATCCATGGCTCTTAGTCTCCAACATGCTGCTCAGCACAGCTGTCCTAGTGCAGGACAAAAGGGCTCTGTGCCAGAAAAGAAGTCCGATAGTTTCTTTTGCTCCAAAAGCAATGGGAAACGTGAACCAAGTTATGGCCACATCCAAATTTCCTTGTATGTGGATGCTGGAACACCATCAGGATCCTGAACCCCAGTGCTTCAGTTTGCACACTTCCTGTAGAAACCAGAATGAAGAGGAGTGGCCCTAGGAAGAGGGGGACACAGGAGTCCTGATGTGGACTCAGAAGCTCCCAATTCATCTAAATCACAGTATATAGCTTAGAGTTACAGTTTGAATGCTGTACTTCGAGCATATCCAGCCTTAAGTAAATTATGACATTTGCATATCTTTGTAGAAAATATTACAACTAATAAAATAAAATAAGGCATGCACCTAGTGTGAAATGGCAGGTCTTTAAATAAACACACTTTTTTTCCTATCGCATACCATAAATTGTCCCTAAATGCATAATCAGCAATAAGGAGGTGTGAAGCAAGACTCACAGCATGAGTTAACTAAGAAGTGACTGTCAGGCACCTGTTTATCGTATCATTATAGTTATTTTCTATCTCTGTCCAGAAGCACTTACCTCATACACAATTAGTGTTCCATTCTCAGTGTGAAAAGAGCAGGACACATTTTGACAGGTACCACAACAAGTATGGTGATTGGAGGAAGGAATATATATTTGATGCTGGAAAGAAAGGAAAGAAAAAAAAAAAAAGAAAAAAAACAAGTATTTTTTAAACCTACAGTATATGAAAATTCATTCATTTCTGAAACTAAAAACACCAAGAGAAACAATATACAAATTGGTATGTTTGCACATGCTGCTAGAAATTGCCTCTCAAAATAATTCTGGAGTCACAAGATACACATCATCACTGTAAAGTTCTCAAGTTCTTGCTGAGCAAACAGGACTAGCAAAAGCCGTCCCTTTGACTTCTATCCTAATTGTGTAGCTGTGCTCACAAATTGCATCATTCCTGTATTTTAAGAATACTCACAGCTTCACACTGCTGGGAACAGTTCACCATTGTAAAATGCACGGCGTTGTATCCTGTGTTCTGATCTTTTTCTTGTAAACACTGTACAGTGTAACAAAGGTCTCCATCCAAGTACTGAATCACTGACTGTCCAGGATTCAGTACTGTGACCTCTTGGAAGATGCACACATCATCCTTCTCTAACACCAAAAGAAATAAATGTCACCAGAGGGAAAAAAAAATCATCAAACAAGTTGATAGAATCACTGAAGACAAAAGTAGGGCAAAGTCCTATGCTCTGCAAAAGTTTTCTCACTTTTAGACTTGATCGGTTTGTGGTTTTAATTACCAAACAAGGTGGGGGAAGAGGTATAATTCAGCTTGAGAAAATGCTTCAAAATGCAAAACTGCCTAAAATTGATAGTGTTCCTCCTATGGAAGTAAAAAAAAAGTATCTCTTGTTCTTATTCTTAGAGTTCTAATATTAACATTGGGCTAAGTACACTATATGAATTATTCTGTACATGACAAAATGTAGCCTTTCTGTCAATTAAAATTGTCTACAATTACCTGTGGGACGGTAACATGCTCAAGCTGTACTGTAAGTGTGTGCTTTGCTCCCAGAGGCAGTTTAGCCTGGGCTGCAGTCAGGATTGCAGCATACCTCAAGCACCCCCCATACAGTACGGCTGAAATTTAGTCCACATGGGGTGGCTGAATGAGGGAAGGGAGCAGAGGTCTGATCTTAAGACTGGGCACCTACCCCCATGCTGGCTGGACAGGTCTGTCATGCTGGTGTGAGATGTCATCTCATTTGTGCTCGACAGTGGACTAGGAGCAGTCACACCACTCACACTCAGCTAAGGTTCACAACCTGCTTCCTATCCGCCTCTCACCTGGGAGACCGTACCCATCTCTGAAACCGTGGGCTGTTTTACTACACTCCTACGCCCCGCCAGAACAGGCACAAAATGGATGGGTTAGCAGACAAAGCATCATATTCAAAAAAGGGAGTATAAGATACCCATAAAATCAAGATAAAAGAGTGTTTAAGTTGGAGAAGGTTATTATGGTCCTGGTTCTGCTTTCTTTGCATGCCCTTTTCCCCAAAAACTAAAACAAAACATCTAGGAATATGAAAAAGTTACCACAAATGTAGTGAGTGCATCCACAAGCACTGGAAACACTACCATCTATTTTTTTAACTTCTCCCTGAGTAGCAAAAGATAAAAGAGTTTGCAAAGTCATGCATGATTAAATGTAGTACTAAACAGTTTTTCTCTAAAAATGTAAACTATTACTTTCACTACTTCCACCCCTGCTTTCATAAAAGAGAAAAATTGCAGTGTACTCAAGAAACAGTAGCACATTCAGAATTATTCAATGTATTTATCTCTTTAAACAGGAAGAAAGCACTTCATTTTCTCTAGGAATGCATATAAACAGCAGAGTGGCTAAACAGCAATTTTTTCCTGAGATACAAAGTTATTTCAGTAATAAACATATTAGCAAAAGATTGCCTTCTATGAATTTTCTCCCAAAAGATAGGTGAAAACTATTTGAATTTGCAACTCCTGTTTAGACTTTACATTATGCAGCTTTCACAGAAGTGTAAGAGAAGGGCAAGCTATAGGCATTTGATAGAGAAAATACCCCTGTCACTATGGTAATAATGGGAGTTTGAACATTCATTTGTAATTATTTTCCAGATCACAGACCCCATTATGAGCAAGTATGTGAGGAGCAAAATATTTATGACTTCTCATATCAGCTAATTCAATAATTTTAAATCATTTTAAATAAAAGCATAAATGATTAACAAAGTAAGACTTTTCTCCAGATAATACGTATGATCATAAAGCTCATCCCTCACTAATTACTAAAAAAAAAATAGGAATTACTTATGTGGCAAAACTTCCCAGCGTATTGTTTCAAGTCAACATTGAGCAGAATAATATTACAGTTGCTTTTCTTCTTTTGACATATTAAAGTGAAATTTCCCCAGGGAATAGTTGACAACACTGGGCAGAAACTTGACAGAGTTACATGCTTGAGCTGGGGACTGGGAGGCAGAGTCCCAGCCTGTCTCTGTTCAGCCTTCTCACCCTTTACAACTAATTGAAACAAGGAATGGAAAGGGAGGAGTAAGAGGGCTGAACAGTGTTAATAAAAATATCTAAAGGACAGCGCTTACCAATTTACAGGTCAGCATAGTAGCATTTTCACAGCTACATTCTGAGAAGAGAACAGGAACAGCGTATTAGTCAGTGTGTCAGTTGTGTGCTAACACGTTATTAGTTGTGTGCTAACACAAACTGTTAGCTTTTGTCAATAGCAGAGTCTAAGGAATAAGGTAATAATTACCACAGTGCCATTCTGGACAACACTGTCCAGGTATTTTTTTCTTAACAAGTGTCATGTCATCTGTGCAATTCATAGGAGGCTCAGAACAAAGATTTTCGTCACAGACTAAATGGGAGAAAAGACAGGTATGAGAATTTACCCAACTTCCCTTTGAATTTCCTAGCTTATATTTCTCTTGATAAACTATTCTAAAAATACTGACAGTTTTTATAGATTTTTATTGTGTTCCTTAAGCATCTCAATTATACTTGGAACTGAAAATAAACCAAGATTTTTAAAAGTGCTTTTAGTTGCCTTAGAACAAATTTAAACTTTCAGAAAACATCACACAGTAATCATTCAGTATTCTTCCTACTTCAGAGTGACTCAGCTGCTCACCAGTACCAAAGACAACTAAAATCACAGCTTTTGGAAAAACATGCTTTTTTTTCATCTCAGCTTTGTTGCAAAGTACATTTCTGTAAGGCAACAGGGAGCAACTGCCCTCCTGGGATGACTCTAATAAGAGAATCCTTGTCTGTCATATCAGAGGAGGCTTACTGGGACTCTGGAAAAAGACCACGTACTAACTTTCTCACTGCTAGAAGTCGGCAAAAACAGTGACAAAAGCCTTTGCAGAAACTTTCACCTGGGTGCACATACTAGAAAAAGGAAAAGACCAAAATGTGGAATCACCCAAAGTAAAAATCACTAAGCTCCAAACTTACTGGAAGACAACTTAATTAACTGAAGTTACCCAAAGACTGTAGTAGGACAAGAACTAATGCAGGAACACTCCACTGCCCTAAATTAAGCAGTTACACTTATAGGCATTAATTAAGAACTTACAGCACAATTTCTGTGTTTTATAAGACTAGCAAAGTGACTATATTACATTGCAAATATTTTTCTTCTGGCTGCTCATTGTTTGAATAGTAGTCAGTCCAGCAGTATTTGAAAACCCTTGGCCTACCTTCTACCCCTAAAAGCTAGAAGTGCAAGGCAAGTGCCCCAACACTAATGAATGGTACAACACAGGAACAACAACAAGGAAGTTGTTTTATTACAGGTGATTTAACACATGAACAATTGTATATTTATACACCAAGGATAGGATTCAGTTCCAGGTTAATATATTGGTATTTAGAACATCCTGAAAGTAGCTATATACTGTTTGGTGAACTAAATAGGCTCCCTACACTCCATTGACTCTGTTGGTTAGACCACTATTGAGTATATACCAAGAACTTTGAACCTACCTCAAATGTAGACACCCTCATTTAGACTTCTTAACCTCTAGCTAAAGAGCACCCTAAATGCTGAATCAAAAAAATCCCCACACATACTTCCTGTCATTTTTACTAAATTCAGCAATATATTGAGCATTACTCACCACAGTAGTAATGAGGACAACAGTAATGTATGGTACTAAGGTCTACAGTGAGAATTTCCCCTTCATTACACAAGGGAATAGGCTCAATACAGGATTCGCAAACTAAATTTAAAAAAAAAAAAAACAACAGACATTTACAAACTTTTAAATACTAGAAAATGAGCACATGTGAATTTTATTTAATATTACAAGTCATATTATGTTGCTAGTTGGGTAACAGAGCTTTGATGGATTGATGTTCAAATATGAAAACATAACAAAGCAGTAGCACATGCACCAGGGTGTCAGGACTTAACGCTACGCAGTAGCCAGTTTGGTGGTAAAGAACTACTGAGGCTGAGCTGTGATCCATGATACAACACACTGAGCGCATAGATCATATATAAAACTCAGCTGTGAAGGCCAGGGTCTGTTAGCAATTTTAGTCTGCAGTTCAAGTATGATGTTCAAAATTATGTTGGAAGTAAAAGATTCCAAAACCCAAGAATAATTCATGCTCCAGTCAGTCTGACCTGTGCGAAGTCCCACTGACCTCCCCGAGAATTCTTGGATTAGATTCTTATGTTTAGAACTATAGACTATTTTTTGTAAATACTTAACTATTCCTTCATTATCCACAAAAATATCAGAGGCTTCTTACCACAGAGATAAGAGAAACAACAGGGATCTTCCTGTTTTGCTTCAACAATAAATTGATCTTCTCTGCAGTCCAGCTGGGAAGCATTGAAACAAACCGAAGGATCACATTCTGTAGGATATGAAATAATCAGTAGTTTTTAAAGAGTGAAGATAAAGAAAATATATTCTTCATCTCCTTAGTAAAACAAAAACCCCAAATTGACTGTAAATCAAAAGTGACACAAAACACAAACACAAAAAATATTGGAAAATGTGAAAGAAAAATACATAATTCCTTGGTGCTATTTACAATGTCCCATTCTGTTACCAATCAAAACAACTTGTAAGGCAAACTTTCTTACAACACATAATACAAGCGTGGAAATTGTCCCAGTAACTGCATTTTTTAATTTCCCTTACCACATCGGTACTGTGGACAGCAGGACAGGGGGTGGTAGCCTACAACCAATTTTTCATTGGTTTTGCACGTTGGAATAATGGTGTCACACAATGACATGTTACATTCTGTGGGATAAAAAACAATCAATTTTGACGTATTTGAACAGATACAAGTGCAAGTCCTACACCTCAAGACATTTTTGCCGTCTAGCATAGAGCTGCACAAACTAACAACAGGCCAAGTCAGCTTACGGTGCACTCCACACCATCGCGTAGACCTCCCAGCTCAACCCAGGGCTGGTAGAGCTCCATTCGTGTGGCACTGTGCAAGCACAGTTATATCCCTCCTAAAGCAGGTATTTACTTGCCCTGCTTCCTACAGGTGAAGCTAGTAAAAATATTCCCTGAACAAATGAACAACACAGTGCCAGTTACCAGTACCTAACTAATGAGCAAAACCACCAGATCAGCTGGACCATTTGTTCTCTTTTTTTCCCCTGAAGATGTGGAAAAAAAAAAAAATCCTTTGCCTAACATTTTAGGAGCAATAAGCATATTTCTTTTTCTAAGAACCATGGCTAGGCAGGATATTAGTATTCCATGATCAGCTCACAGAATACTGCTTCTGAGAGACAGCAATAGGTCAGAGGATACTGCACTTGACACCAGAACACTAATAAGAAAATCCAATAGGCTCTGATGGCTGCACAAGTTACTAAGCTACTTCTACTATCAAGTATTTCTCAATCTTTCTTTTAACAGTAAGTTTTTTTCACTAGTGACTTCTAAGAAAAAAAAAATATTTCAGTGAGTCAGTTCTTAGAAAGAAAAGAAGCCTGCTTTTCTGGCTCAACCAGCCACAAATGCCTAAAAAACACTTCTGGAAAATGTTACTTTGAACACTTTGAACACTATCTGAAGACTGTCATCTGCTGATGAATGTCAAGCACGTAACTTGTACTTCTGTTACTGAAAACAGGTGTGGTACATACCACAAACTTTCTTTGGACAGCAAGCCCTCTCTTCAATGACATGGATGATAACTTCTCCTTCTCTTTCACAGACTGGTGGTGGATCCTCATTGCATTCAGGTTCTATGGCAACAACACTTCCATTTTCTAAACAGTTGTACATGCAACAGCCTCGCATGGACCCATTCCAGATCTCCCCAGCAGAGCGGGGCTGTCCTTTGTTATCTGTACATGCTGAGAGAAAAACATTATATCTGTTCAACAAGTAGAGAGCACAGATTTCTGCAAGCAGCTATGAACTAATTTGCCATCTAGGTAGACTTACTGCATAAAATAAGAGCACTGTGGAGCATTATGATCAAGGAATCCAAGAAAAGGTTATAACCTTAAAAACCTCAAATGAACAAATGCTTTGCTATGGGCAAAAATAATCAGTGAGTGCAGGGGAAAGAACCTGCATATGCTATTCCTTCCTGAGTACTCCAGGAAAGCAAGCCTGGGAGCTACGGAACAATGACCATAATTTTTCCCCCACAGAAGTACAGCAGCACTGGATCTTGAATCTAGGTGAAGTGAAAGCACAAACTGCTGTAGCTTGAGATAAAGCTAGGCTCTGCTGACATACCAGATGCACGCCTACTGAGGACTGACATAGAATTTAAACTTTGCGTACACTGAGCTGCAGTTAATATTAGCGTGTTTGCAAATTACTCTATCTTGCTGCACTTACTACATTTTTCTTCTGGTATACAGAGGTCAGAGTCTGTTCTATGCAGAATAGTGCCATTTTCACACACACAGTCTTCCCTTAAATAGGAACAGGGAGAATCTTCATAGAACCACTTATTCAAGCATGTCTTGGCTTCACAGGGTTGCACACAAGGCTGGTATTCCTTGCCCTCGGGACAACTCAATGCTGCAAGTCATAAAAATAGGAAATTTAGCGCTGCTATAATTCTTCCAGCATTTCATTGGATAAACAGGTAGTACAAACAATTCAGTGTATCATAGAAAGCATACATTTATATTTTTAACAGTACTTTAGGTAAGCAACTAATTCAAACCAGATTAAAACCACTTCATGACACTTTAACTAAAGCAATACATTTTAATAACTGATACCCTGACTTACTAATGTTGTGACAAGATGAGACAGTACTTCTAATAATAATAGAAATATATTTTTAAGTCAGCACTAAACACTGCAGCAGTACGAAGCCACACCAGGATATAGAACATGGCTATCTGCTTACAACAGTAATCAGGTGTCCTCCATTTAATGCAGATGTTGTGCTTGTTGCATAAAGCCACATATGCAGAAAGTGCATCACACTCATAATTCCAGAAATAAGTACTGTTGATCCACATCTTCTCACAAAACTCCTGTGGTGACACCTAGGAACATAATGTAATTGAGAATTAACACATAGAAGAGGTTTCTGTAATTAAAATAAATCATTATTTACAAGAAATAATACAGCTACAGGGGAAAAATCACAAGCAGTGTCTAAAGTAAAAAATACCATTTTTTCCAGAACACTCATTCTGCAAAACTTAAACTGCCTGAATTTTTTATGCTCATTAGTAGGCACAGAGCACAGTCCTACTCAGACTGTCACACTAATTACAAGAACTTCTGCAGTACAGTCCTGTCAGCTAAAAGCCAACAGTCTCAGCTGAACATTAAAGTTTAGCGTCAACTAAAAAGTTGACATGAAAAGTAAACTACAGGGCTCTGTGTCTGTAGGACCCAATAGCCTATGCTACTGGGTCTAAATGCAGGTAGTCCAACCTATCTCATTTCTGTCATTTTTGTTTGCATAAGCTTATAACAAGGTAGAAAAAGTCAGATTTTGATTTATTCTGCCTGTTCACTACTGTGCTGCAGCCCAGCTCTCCCTGTGGTTTCCGGAAACCTTCAAGCAGTTGCTCACTTCTGCCATGAAGTTCATTACACCGATGACTGTTACCTATCCTTGCCCAGCTGATTCACATCTATGAAGCGCACAATACGCTCCATCCACTCTGGCTCTGCCACCATCATGTATATGAAAGAAATCAAATTTCATAATGGATGAACCAAGTGCTTCGCAATTTTGATGCTATGTCAGGTTTTGCTATGAACCAGGAAAAGATGCAATGTATTGTATTGGAGGCTATAAGAGTCTTCCTGGAAACGTATATGAAGTAGGAATTCTGACTATTCAGATTCCCTGTAATTGTTTTAAAATTAGATATGTTAAAACAATTATGAAAAGCATCCTTCTGCCCACTGGTGCTACTCTCCCTTCTCGATTCCAAACTGCTTACCACCACTCCCTTCCATTAAGTTTCTGTGGCAAATATCGATTAATCTTTTTTTTAAAAAAAAAAAAACCTCTTTAACCCCTTCTTTTCAGAAGAACTCCCTCCATTTTCTTCGACCTGGGGAAAGGTGAGGAGAGGACTTGGGAATTTGAAGGAAGGGGCTCAGCTGCCTGCAAAACCTTTAACAGAATTTCTCTGTGTTGAAAACTGAAGAGTAACACAACGCAAACCAAGGGTGGAAAGGCAGAACAGCAAGAAATTAATCAGGAATCTGGACACATCTCTCTCTGAGAAAGGGCCACTTGAGTAATTAATCCTTTTTATTTTGAATTAAGTGGGAAAAGTAAGTCAGACCTCCAAGATCCAGGGCTTCCTCATTTCCCCTTCTGGGAAGCAGCTGTGCTGCACTACCCACCTCCAGTGGTATTCTGCATGCAACAGCTATATCCCCATTAGAAAGTACAGTGTCCAGAAACAAATTATAATGATTTCTGTAAGAAATGCTGCCAAATTGTCAACATAATAGTGACTACATCAAAATTTGTTTAACTGGAAGTTTCTCCAGTCCAATCAGTCTCGGACTGCATGAGTTGCTGTTGTATGCAGCAGCAGCATGAGGCTTTCCGTTCTAGTGACCCATGTCAAGCATTCATTAAAAATAACTCTTCTGGAATGTGTTTGTGTTGGGATGATGATCTGGTGTCTCTCCTTGGAGCGTTGCCTACTAAATAATTGAAGAAACCAGCATAGTAGCACAGGGATCCATATAAATGTGTGTTTACTATGGACAACATGACAAAAGTGTTAAAGCCAACATGACAGAGGTATTAAAGCCACCCAGGCAGTTGTCAACTCATGAAAATAAGCAAGACATAAAAAATGTGCCTATCTCTCTCTCACTCTTTTCTTAACTGTACATCTTTTATCTAATTTGCATCTGGAATTTCTCTGATCTTCGTACTCACTTTCTTGTGACAAGGGATGAAAATGCTTCTGTTCAACAGTTCCATACAGTACGTGCAGTTATCTTCAGTACAATTTCTTACTGGCCTCCTGCTTGTTACATCAAGTGATTTCTCAATTTCCCAGCTCTTAATGAACACTTCGATTTCTTCCATATTTGTAATTATGGTCCTGTTTTGCATTTTCAGGTCATCAGTAGGGTCTCCATTACACACCCCTGGCGACAGAGCATCACATTCGAAAGCACAACAAACATGCCCTATTACTTCCTTTGGGAAAGAAAAGGGCGCTTGATAAGGTAAGATTAACACTGCATCAGGCTCACCTGTGAGACTCAGTCATCTGAACTTATAAATGAAAGCAGCTATACGTCCACTGAGGTTCCAACTTTCTACTTGTGGTTTTACTTGTCAGCTCAATGGCTTAGCAAAGCAAGGAGACCATACAGTACAAGTAATGAGACTTTTCCCAACAATGAATTAACTTTTGAGAAGAACTGCTACCAAAATGTGCTGTTGAGTGTAGCAAATTCACTGACATGGCACCAGAGTCTGATTTCATTCTACTGAATAGCAGTCAGCTCCATGGCGTAAATGTAGTTGGCTTTCAAATTAACTGCCTGTCGCTGATGATTTGTCACTGTATTGAAAATTAATTGAACATTCTAAATGCGAGAAGTTATGAAAGGAATCTTTTGATGAACATATTGCTTTCTCTAGAGAAAATATTTTGCTTACTCAATTTATTAATACAAAACCACTGAAAAAAACCCACCCCACCCAAACCCCTGGCATCCACTGGCTACCTGAATTCATTATTGTATGTATTAAGTTAATTCATCAATGAAACTTCCTATAAGCACATGAAAAGTCATTAATGCCAAAATTTTGATCTGCATAATACCATTTTACATCCCAGAGACTGATCAGCTGAAGTTCCGATTCGCTTTTTTCACTTCCCTTCCTTGCTGCTAACCACACCCTAAGTCCCTGCCTTTGTGCTTCCAGCCCTGCATCCTGACACTCTCCAGGGTGCCTCGTTAGAACTGGGCTAGCCTGGCGTGACAGGCTGTTGTTCTCTCAGGCAGCACGGAGAAACACAGAAAATAGTATTTGCAGGATAAGAAGCATTTGACAGTAACACCGCTTTCCCATATTCTTAATACTTCTGCTTCTTGCTGCTGTCCTAATGCCATCACACACACCGTGCTAGCATCGGAATTCGTAGGGCCATACTAAAGAATTGCAGAATCAATGCAGCTTTAAAAATAAAGCCAATTTGTCACACAGTCCCACAATTTTTTCAGTATGAGAGCAAGAGGATAGGAGAATCCCAGACAAGAACAAACAGCAGACAATAGGGGAAAAGTGCTAAAGGAGTCTTTCAGACTTTACTGCAAAATACCAGGTAGAGCAACACTTGACAGCGGAGGTTGGATTTGTCTGCGGTCTCTTCCTCTTTCTGTCTTTTCATGGCACATAGTAACTGTTCTATAATCCTTCCTACATTTGACCTCATCTCATCCCAATCTTTTTGAGCTTGCACAGAGAAGATGGCATGATACTGGGAAAAGATGCAGTACGTGCCAGGGCCAGCATTCACGGTCTCTCACTACATCTAGGAGAACTTTTCTTTTGTTCAGGCAGAATATAGCAATTGATTTTAAACACGTAATTTGTTTACGTTTATATTTAAACCATATCGGAATTGTTTTGTTTGCTTTTAAAACCAGAAGCAGTTTAAAAGATTATAAAAAGTTCATTTTCCTGTTCAATATAGGGTAGATTCTGTAAAATTACAATGCACCAGAAAAATGAACATTTATTATAGACTTAAAGTAACTCTAAAATGCCTGCTTACACTTTTCCATATAATTTATACCAGCAGAGTTATAAAAAGGCTATCAGGGAAGCCTGAAATATGATACATTTACTATTTTAAATGGGAAATTATTAAATAAATTAAAAAATTGCCACCATAGCCTCACCACAAAGTCCTTCTGTCTTCATCGATGTGGTAGAGTGTAATCCATACTGTATATCTATGATGCCTGTAACATGAGCCCACTTGATGCTAATACCAGCTGGGGTATTAACGACATACATTGCGCCAGTATCCTGAATACTCAGTCCTTCTTTTGAAAATGGTAATGATTGAATTACAGAATCCACTACTACCTAAAATAAACCAAATGCATTTTAAGGATAAAAACAGATTGCGAAGATGTATTTTATATGTCTTTACATCTTATAGTAAAAGATATTTTTTACAGCCTCTGCCTCATACAATAACAGTCACAGTGCTTAAATCACAGAGCTTCCCATCAGTGCCATTTCCCATAACTGCAAATGAAGTAGGTGTGAGAGAAAAAAAATGATACAGAAATCTTTTCTAATCAAGGAATCAATAAATCTTAATTATCACATATGATAAAACAACAAAAAACCCTCATTCCAATTTTTCAAAGTTATCTGGCCTGACCTGCTATTGACTAGCAAGAAAGGCAGCTTAAGTATTTACCATGTCTTGGAACATTTCTTCAGTTCTAGGTTATCTGAAAATATAGTCTCAAGTATAAATTACTTTTGCAGCTTCTTTAAAATCTCAAAAGAACTTTGAAGTGTTATTTTGGATAAATGACATATAGGTGAAACATAGTATCAGAAAAGTGTAATTTTTTGCTCCTAGCACACTGTGAATTACTGGGAACCTGAACCACAAAAGTAAACCTAATCATGTAGCACATTCACTATAAGTCTGATCTACTGCGTTCTACAACAGAATAGCTCTCCAGCTATCTTTTAAGGGAACAAATGCTATATATTGGTGTTATATACTCACTTTTCTTGCTAAGCGATTGATAAGTAATTTCTGTGTGCGCGTTGTTACATTTAATTTCTTAAAACAGAGCCCTGAAGTGCTTGCAGGGGGAACCTTGAAAGAGAATTGACAAACAAGTTTAGTTACTATCATTTTTTGAATTCTGTACCAATGCTATATTTTTTTGATATGTGTACTATTAATCCATTTTATAATCAGTAAAAGAAAAAAGTACTCACTAGTTTTCTTATTGAATTTGCACTCTGGAAAACAGTGAAAAATAGATTAGAAGTGCAATGATAACCTGCAGCATTCTTATTTGAGAAAAATAAGTTGACTTTTCTTTGTGTTTGAAGTTCTTCTACAACTGGCTTGATAATTAAACTAATTTAATATATTCCTTACAAATAATAAAAAATACACATTTCCCAGCTAATGTAGTACACCTTTCTATGAACTATTTTTAGAAACTTGGTTTACTTGTTAAAGATTTAAATCAACGGGGGTCATGTGGAAAATAATACAGAAAAGAGAACACAAGGACCTGAACAAGTTGAATGAAAAATACATAGAGGTAAAATGGTCATGACAATAAAATCCCTTGCCCTAATTTTGATAAAACTGCTAATTTAACATGGCATCTTTAGGCACAAGATTGCAATTTGTATATGCCATACCTCAGCTGGCTTTTAACTAAATAGCTTTCACACTGAGAGCAACTCAATACCAGCATCACGAGCTCAGCATATTCTGCAAAGCCCTTTCAAAAATACTTCTTAAAGAACTACAGCTACAGACTTCTAAAGCTCATCTGCCTATGTGATCTGCATTCACACCTTTAGACTGCAACCAAGAAACAGCGAAGAGCGCAATTTAAAAGAAAACCTCTAAACCAGCGGAAGACTCAAGACTTAAAAATCAAGTGTACAGTTGCCCAGTGAGAGTAGATAAGAGGCAAAATAGGGATGGGAAGGAAAGAAGCTTAATGAAGTCCCTAATCAGGAATTTGTTTATCCACAAACCAAAGATGGAAATACAAGCCAGTAGTTCAAGGGCTGCATAAATTTGGACTGTGAACAGCGCAAAGGAGATGTAGGTACAAACTCTAAGGATGAGACTGACCTGACCTGACCTAAACTGGCAGTCTAAAAATAAAGCGGCTGGATCCCTCTGTAGGCAATGCAGAGAGTTAGACAACTATAAAGAACAACTCATCGCACAAATCCCAAACTCATGAATACCTTCCTGAAGTAACTATGAAAGATTTTTGTGACTGCTCAAAATATTTTAGTATTTTGGCCATATTATAAAGTATAAATTCAAGGCCTCAAGAAGATTTGTGGCTGGAGATCCTGAAAGGAGACATGCAGATTCAGAAGTTAAGTCACCCCTGATAATTTAAAAGGAGCCTACATTTGAATTTCCTTATAACATAATACAACAATTACTAGTTAACCTAAGATAAAATTCATTTGTCTAGACAGCATGATTAAGCACGGTACTTGAAAATTAAGTAACTTGCCATTTCTCAATGGGTATGGCTTTTATCTGAAAGTTCTGAGTGAGACATTTTTGCAGAATTTCATACCTCTAACATAAAAAATCAAGAAACTATTAGAATTATTGTGGAAATACAAGAATCTTACCTGATTAGCAGGACATTTTTCAACATGAGCAACAATGATTTCTCCTGGTAACTTGACTAAAATGTAGGACGCCATATTACAGAGGGCTATGTTGTTGCCATCAAAAGTAATAACACTCAGTTCAGAAAGTACAGAACATTGACCTAAAAAAGAACTGTCATTTAATGAGGTTACCACAAAACTGATCACAGGGCATTTCTAAAAACTTTCAGTTTTAGCAATATTAGCTTTTGTATATCTGTTCATATATATATTTATGACCTTGTTCTGCAGGCAACATACTGAACCATAAGCAGAAACAATGTTTCTTAAACATTATGTTTCTTAAACATTATGTTCGTAAACTTATGTTACTCAGTAGAAATACCTTAACCTAATTCTATGTGCCTAGGGTAGGGAAGAAAGTTTAAACTGGTGAAAATTTTCACTTAAGTCAATGTTTTACAGGCAAGGTCCATGAATCTGTACATTGTGAGATAAAATATATGCATTAAAATAGACATATTTTTGAGATACTGATAACAAGAGACTGATCTGTCCTATCTTGAGACAAATATTTAGAAGTGAAATACAGATTTCAGTAATGCTGTGAGTTTTTTAGTATGACTTATCTTTGGCCTTTTTGTTCCCTTGGCAGACAGTCATCTGCCAGTTTCTGCAGTTTCTAAGTATGAGTAAAAACTGCAGTTAGAGGTAACTGAAATTTGGGGTTCAGTCTTTCAGAAAATGACAGTATTTGGTTTGTTTTCTTCACAGAATGTTGAAATCTCAACACTTTTCTAGTGATAGAAATTCTGAGAAGTCTCAGCTGGAGAATGTTGATATTCAAGTTGCAGATTTCCTTTCAATGTTTTCATTCAAAACAAAATATTTTGACTCTCTTGAATGTTAATTCAAAGATACCAAAACATTGAGTATATTTTCATTCCGTTTTGCTGATGAACAGCTCTTTTAAACTCGTTCCAGTATTCAATGTCATATTCCCTCTGTAATAAGCCCTTAATTTATTACTTGAAATTTACAGATCAAGGCTCTATGTTTTATTTAAAAATAAAACAGTGACTTACAGGGACATTCCCATTCTGGGCAACAACTATCAGTGTTAACTTGAACTGGCATTCCTCGAAAACCACAGTCTGGCTTCTGCACATCCTTAGGGCAGTTCTTTGAATGGTTATATAGCATCCAGCCGGTATGAACACATACATATTGGCTACATTTGTCGACAGGTTCAAGGTACCTTGGCTGTCATATAAGGAAAAACCAACAAGACTCAACTTTACATTCATTGCCCTTATGAAGCCCAAGCAATCACTTGTTCATCATCCTGCTCTGAGACAGAATCAGCGTATCTACGTGACCCCCCATCAGTTATTTTGGAATAAATTGCTTTTGTGTGGTTGTAACAGGTGACAACGGTGCACCCCTCCTGTTCCATCTAGCTTTGGTGGTGCTCTATGTAAAGCATTATGCATTGAGGCTACATGTTTTACTCAGTAAAAATCTGAAGCTTTTTAAGAAATACAAAATCATGCATTCCCATCATTTTAAACATTGTGACAAAGAAACAAATGGAAAAAAGAAAGACAGAGTGAGATTATGCAGAAACCCAAAAATTCCATGGATTATGGCTTTTTCTGCACCTCAGAAATATATTTCACTATCTAGAATCAGCATGAAAAGTGATTTTTTTTTTCCAGAACAATACATTCAAGTTGCAGAATATACCAGGCCAGTATAAGAGCACAGATACAATAACCCTCTAAGAATAACTGAGTATTTTAAAATATACAAACAAAAACAAAATCAGGAGATATTTAAAATCTCCGGTATTATGTGCATAGCATAACAGAATGGACTGAAAAGCAATATATATTTTAACACATAGGGGCAAGTAAAACTGATCATACCACACATTGAGAAGGTGCAGACATCAGTGTACCAGAGGAGGCCTTGTCAGCTATAGCTGTCATTTTTTCTGTGCTTGCCAGAGGAGTTTGTGTTTCCACAGGCTCTGAAGAGGAAGGCAGAGCCATTCCACCACTAGAATGAGATAAATCTATTACAGTTCTGGTCTGCAGCTCTGTGGGCTCTGTTAAACTGAAATAAGGTTTGATGGGTTTCTGTGTTGGGATTTTGGACCAAGCTGATGTTGTTACAGCTGGAATTCCAGAAAGAGAGATATTTTTTACTGAGGTTGTATTTTTTGAAAAAGGTGAACTCTGAACTGCAGATACTGTCAAATAAGGCAGGAAAGATTTCTCAGTTGTGGTTGACTTTGTCTTGGTAGCATTTCTTTGCTCATGTGAAGTCTGACCACTTTCTAAAATATCCACCGTTCTTTCAACTGACATTGTGTATTTAACTTCTGAACCTGTAAACGAGGTACTCTTAGTCTGTGATAATGGACTTGTAGTGCCAGTTGTTTTCATGATCATCATTTTTGGAGTTTCTTTAGTGCTCTGTGAAGCTTGTGTGACTGCAGATGTAAATAAAGATTTGTGTGGCACATGCATGGGTGTTTCTATGGTGGTAGGAACTGAAGCTGAAGCCGTATAAAACTCCAAATCATCAACAAAAGAATCAGTAGTTTTTGTAGTCATCCTAGAGGCTACAGTAGTGCCAGAAGCAACCAATAAACTGGCTGAAGAGCTAAGTGGTATTTTTGCAAAAATATAAGGTGCTTTTAAGGATGTAGCGTTCACTGTTGTGTTCATAATCATTGGTGTAGTGGATCGAGTGATGATTCCAGCTGATATGACTGATAATGTTCCATCTTCTTCTGAAGAACTTACCGAAGAACTCACTGAAGAACTCTGTTTTCCTAGAGAAATAGTAGAGATACGAGTGATCTTAGGAGGAGGTGAAGACATAGAGAACCTACTGGACTGGCTTTCTAAAGTGGCTTCAGGAGTTGTAGGCATTAGTAAAGAAGGCATTACAGTGGATGGTTTTAGTGCTGCTGAAAGGCTTATAGAAGGGCTTATATTTAAAGTGAATGTAGAAAAATCTACAGAAGTTGCAAAGTCTATAACTGGACTTTTTGAGGTTCCTTGTGTATCTAGAGATGAAACTGATGTTTGGGTAGCAGTTATATTTTGTGTTAATGATGACGTCCTACTGACTATGGGAATCAATGAAGAACTTGTAGTGTGAGATGATGCATAAGATGGTACAGACGTTGATAACAAGATTGTAAATAAAGGTGATGACCTTGTCAGAGAAGGATATTTAGGAATGAAAGTGCCTGAACTTTGTGCCACAGGGTCAGTTTTCAATTCCATATGTGAACTGCTTGGATACTCTGTAATTTCTTTTAATGTAGCATTCAGAGGTAATACCAGTGGTCTAAGAGGGAAGACTGTAGACCTAATGGAGTTCATTGGCTTTTTAGAAATGGATGACACTGAAAAGGATTTATTTTCTGTCGAGGCTTTACTTGCTATAGACATATCAGAGATTGTTGGATTGGCTAGAAGAGCGGAAGCAGCAGAAGGTACTTTATAAAGATTTGCGGAGGCAACAGTGACATCTGCCATAGCTTTGGGCTTCAGGGAGGTAATCAGAGAACGCACTGGTATAGATAGTGTGTGTGTTACAGAAGGGCTCGAAGAAGTGTTTATAGGGATTTGAGAAGCAACTTGAGGTGAAGATATAGTCATTATGGGCAGAGCAGCAGGAGTACTGCTTTTCATTAATGGAGATGTCTGCTTGGGAACAGTCACTGAAATTTCCACTGAAGATAAAAATGGCTTTGGAGAAAAACTAGCTAGCGAACTTGCATTCAATGATATCAGAGAAGTTTTAGACAAGGGTTTTGCTGTTTCAAAATATGAAACTGTCATTAATTGAAGAAAACTTGTCTCAGAGCTAGCCAATCTAGTAGTCATAGGAATTTGAGGAGCAGTTGAAATCAGTGCAGAAATGGATGTTGGGTGAACTGCAGTTTGACCAATGTCAGCTCTAGTTCTAACAGACAAAGTAGATGTAGGAGAAGTAGATGTGCTTAGTGTCAACCGTGAACCTAGAAGAAATAGAGGTCTTGTGAAAGTTGCTCTGCCAGCCATCAAAGCAGACAAAGACACTTCAGAGAATACTGCTGCTCCCTTAGAATGACTTATTGAAGGACTCTTACTCTTCCCAACCCCTGCAGGAAGCTCAGAAGTGACAAAAGATGGCTTGGAGGTTAAAGTTGTTAATGCTGAGGTAGAGGGAACAGTTCCTAGCTGAGTGCTTGATGTTTTAAGTGGAAATGGAACTACCACTAGGGAAGTGGGTGTTAATAATGCCGAATGTGTTGGAATAGGGCTTGCACTGAGCAGGGTTGTTGGAGTTGCTATTGTAATGGGTAAAGTTATAGATGCAGCAGAACTGACAGTATGTATTGTGACTGCTGAGGCTTGAAGAGCAGGTGGAAAACCTGTTGAAGGGATGAGTTTGGAAAGGACAGTAGGGCTGGCTGTGCTGTGAAGTACATCAGAAGGCTCCACTGTACTTGGTAATGAAAATGTTGAATAGGTGGCTGCACTAGATGCTTCCAAGGAATAAAAGTCTGTAATGGACTGTGCCGACATATTCATTCCCCTTAAAGTTGTGTTTGCCTTCATGGTTATTTTGTCTGTCACACCACTACGAGTTGACTCAGTCCCCGAAGTAACAAATAAAGGAGATGTCTGAGGGAATCTCTCCATGGTAGCACCCGTGAGAGAGATTAACAATGAAGGTTTTGTTCCAATTGCTGAGTCTGTAGGTGTCACAGGTATGCCTAAAAGGAAAAAAAAATGCATGTTTCACTGACTTTTATGGATTATTGGTAAAGGAAAATAGTAACATTATCTCTACTAACATCCCATTTAAATACTAACAAATCAGAGCATAATTTTGCTGAGAAGATAACTTGCCAATGGTTCCAGGTTGCCTGATGACTTTGAGGAACTCAGCTGACTCAAGGAATTTTCTAATTGTCTTTGCAAATGAAGTAGCTAATTTTATATTATTAGCAAAAACCTTGATTTTGCGGAGCAGTTTTGAAGCAACAAGGGAATTTAATGGAAAATTCAGTAAATAAAAATAATAAAATATTTGGAATAAATGTATCTTTGGAAGGTAGTATATTATATGAGATAACTTTGTACTAGCAAATATCAAGCATAATGTATTTAATTCAAAACCTATAAAATAAAATAGAAGACAGAATTAAACTGCAATTGTTATCTTAAAATAATACTATATCCCCAAAATAAGCAAATAGCATGGTATCTTCACACACCAGAAGTTATGAAATAGATAGACTGAATTTGTTAGTGGCGGCTCTTTAACTGAAAAGTCTGAACTTTTTGCCTCAGCAGTACTCTTCCATATATGCATATGATATACTAGCAGTATATAGTCAAATATAGTTGTGATGAGTATAACACCATCACAGAAGGTTAAATTTAACACACTATTAGAGAAATGAAAGAACTCAACTTTAGGTATGGCTTGTTTGGATGCAGGAGATGTATTTTGGATGACTCAGAATGGAGTCTATGTCCCAGAGAGACATTCTTCAACAGAAGGATGTTCTGGTAAAGCATTTAATAAAAAACCAACAATGTACATTTGATTAAAACCTTTTCTGGGATCTCAAGAGTGATGTATAAGATTAGACCAATATCATAACATACTTACAGTCTTCTGGATAAACACATTTAAGTGTGACCTCATCAAGGATCATGTTTTTGGGACAGTATGGCAAGCATCCTTCAACCCTTTAAAATATTGTATAGTTAATTCAACAGCCACAGCAGAATTATAAATTAATTTTAAATTATTTTACTTTGGCAAAATGAAACATTTGAATGTCTTCCCCATCAGAGTTCTGAGAACTTTCCTATGTAATGGTGAACACAGGATTTTGAGGCATTTTAAGGTCAAAAAGACATTGAACAGCACAATTCTGTTTCTAAATTGTTAATAATCCATTCTTTGCATAAGCTGATGAACATGATAGCTTTGGATCATTCCACTTCCCGAACCAGGTGGAAGTTCAGATCCCTAAGCAGAAAGGTTTTCCATAGGATGAAGAACTTCTCCACAAGACCACTGTTTTACCTAGAAGTCTCATTTGAGACATTAAAATGTTTAGACTGACTCCACAGAAAGTCTCATTCTTGTGAACTTTCAGCATAGGAGAGTGCAGACAAGTCCACATATTCCCTTACTTTTTCATTTTGGGGGGATCTTTAAGAAGAAAATCATGACATTAACAACCAGTGAGCCCATATGGAAACAGCTAAGAATACCAACAGAGAAAATTAGTAATACTCCTAATCATAAACTGCATATGCCTAAGGAAGTAGTCTGAAATTCACAATATCATTTATTTTCCACCAGATTTTGTGACTTGAGTTTTTAGGCATTTTTCCTTTCAGTTTGCTGTGGTTCCATAGATGCCAGGGGAGATTGGTGGAGGCAGGAAATCTTGTTACTAATAACAAGGTAACACCAGCCATGTGAAATCCCTCACATCATGCCAACGAGCATCTCCTAGCATAAAGTTCCCTCCTCTTACAGGAGAGGGCGTAGTCCACCCTTACTATTCCTACAGTTTTTGATCTCTCTCGTATAAACACCAGAAAGATGTAGTCATCTACAGCATCATGGGATGCTGGTTTAGGATGTAGATACAAATCCATAGAAGGGAATGGCCTTCATTTAATTTAATAGATTTCTGCTTTACTACTACCAGAAGCTAATCTCCTGGGCTACATACAAACCATCTTATTCTTGTGTTGAAAGATCACACGTAAACAGGAATATATACCGTGGGAAATGAGAGGCTTGTTACAAATGTTTTCACATGACTTCTGAGAGTTGCTCACATGAGTGATGCTGAAATCAAAATTTTCAGAAAGCATATGGTATGCGTACTATAAAAAACAATACGGTAGCAATACGAGCTTAATTTTACTTACGGAGGAAGGAATTTACATGCTACTCCTTCAGGATCACTACATGTTTTAACACAAGGATTAGCACAAGATTCATATCGCCATTCACACATCCTTCTATAAGGCACAGATGCACTGAGTTCTGAGAAAGAAGGAAAAGGTATTATTTATTGATTGTGTAATTGATAAACTATAAATGTATAGTCTTTTCTATGACGTACACTGGGATTTTCAGAAAAATGAAAAAATGAAAAACAAGTAGAGAAATTCTTGAGAACTTTCAAACAGGTGAGATTTTGTTCATTTTCAGTTTCATTTTAAATTCAATCAAACTAAAAGACACTGAAGCTTCAAAGATACAAACAGCTACTCACTTTTACAATATATTCTGTTCTAAAACCTTAAAAATCAGTTAAACATAGTGTAGGTACTGTTGGTTGCAGAAGCAATACAGTTACCCCATTCATTTAAAAGAACGGATATCTATAGCTCACTAGCAAGATGTGAACATGCATCTTTTTGTGACATGCCACATTCATTTTGAAAGGGTAAACCAATGAAAATGTACTTCAAAGATAAAGTAATCATCATATCATCAAAAAGTAGAAAATAACAGCATTTGGAGGCAGAATGGAAGACAAAGACAGAATAGTAATTAAAAATAGGATAAAAAAATATTTGTTACTATTGCTGGTGAAAGACAAGTGCTCTGAAGGCAAGCAGAAAAAAACCATAGTTATCCCTGGGGCTTATGCAAAATTTACCTTCAATACTAAAGCTACTCAAACGTTTGAATTCTTCTGAATCATCGTACTTTGCCACTTTAACACCAGATGAGGTGAGAATGATGAAAAAGCCTTTTTTACTGTGCAGTTCGAAGGCGCTGAGCCCTGGACTCCAGAGGCCCTGGTGGTGGAAGAAGGTGGCTCGTCTCCGAAAGGAGGCACTTGCCTGCCACTGTTCCAACCCAACGGTTTCATTGTTGTGTACATACAGAAAGTAGTTTGGTCTTTCAGCAGATTCAAGGGAAACAAGAGAGGGAGCTTCCAGAGAAGAAAAAAAAATAATAGTAAGATTTTCACTTAAAACAAAAGTGAGATTAAAAATCTATATATTGGCTTTAAGTGGCTCCTTTTAAACAACTGCTTTCCACACACACAAAAAAACCCCCCCAGTTTTATGTAACACAAAAAAAAGTTAGAAATGCATGGTCTAAAGTAGCCTTCAAATGATCACATAATCCGGAGCTACCAGAGAGCTAATCGGTTAGATCAAAACTACAGTCAGCCTTCTGCTACCAGCCTTCAAAATGATTCATAAGCAGTCTCAAATTGGGACTTCCTCAAATTGGGATTTTTTTCTCAAATCTGGACAAATGCCTGACAGTTCAGCTGTAGCAAAATTTCATTAGTAAATAACATCACAGAAATATTTTAAGAACATGCTTGACTTCACCTTGAGGTCAGGCTTTTTTTACATACAGTCCTATCCAGTAACACAGTGAGAAAACCTGTGGCCAAATAAAAGACTCAACCCTCTCTCTACTTTCTCTACCCATGCCAGAAACCAGAAGTGAAGAAAATTCTCTGAAAATTTAAGAACTTAAAAGAAGACTTCATATTTGATTTCCAACTTGAATAAAATCTTGAAGTGTCTTTGATCTAGTTTAATACTGTCTCATTCCTCACAGGTAGGAAAACTACCTGTGTACTGCACAGATATAATGAATGTTTTACTTCCACTTTACATCAGTTGGAGAATTGACAAGACTGAATTAATTCTTCTGTTCTATGTATCTTCTAATTTCAAAATCATATCTAAAAACCTAATTTCTCCACCACAAAATTGTCAACTGTTTGTGAATATAGTTTCAGATTTTACTGTGAAGACAGCCCTTCTCTGGGTTGATTTTTGAGGGTTTGGGATTTTTTTCAATAAATTAAATTCTGTGAGAAAGCAATGACAAAATTAATCCGTACTGACTTAATTGGCACAGACCCAATACATGTGAAGAAAGGAAAATACAGAGAGAAGGAAAAATATTTAAACATATTTATTTTTGGTTGGATAGTTTGGATCAGTCTCTGATAAGTGAAAAATAATGCTTACGAATAGGTGTTCACCTAAGAAACTGCCTTCTACATTGTATGGAGATACCGCTCACTAACAATGCAGGAGACAGATTGGTTGTTAAGTCACTCATTTTATAGTCCACTGAAAGGCACAAAAAAGAGGGAAAGATGAAGCAGAAATTATTTTACTGGAGACAAAATTATCCTGCATTCACCTTCAGTGTTGATACTTGCTAGATACATGTGCAAAATTTTCCAGTTTCCAGTTGTACAAACTAATTAATTTTTTTTCCACAACAGAATTGTATTCACTTGTATTTTGCAATATTTCTAAAAAAAATCTTTGAAAAGTCAGCTTTAAAGCTGGCAACAAGGTTTTCCAATATTTAAAAACAAATTTAAAAGTCAGTATTCCTCCTCAGTTTTGAAACTGGCTGCTTCATCCTCACTTATTCCAATAACTAAAAATATCTACACTATTCTAGGAGATTTAGAAGATGCAGCAAAAATCATCCATATAGTTTGAAAAAAGTGTATTGCCATTAGCAAAATTATTGAGAACACTTACATAAATCTTTATCTTTGAAAAGACCTGGAGTTATCATGAAACTGAAAAATACGTTTCCATATGCTCCTGTTCTAGGCAGGGGAAATATCCTTCTACTGGATACGTTAGCTCCTATGATTGTGTCATTCTCTCCATAACTTGCCAAAATATAGGGTCCTTCACCAAGACCTAAGGGAAGAAAAGTCAAATAGAAAAAAAAAAAAAAATCCTCCTTGCATAACATACAAAACTTAAGTCTTAGATGACATAATAATTACCTTAAATATTTCACCATACCTGGAATCAAAGGAATTTGGAACTACAGCTCAGTAGTGCTTCAAGGTATTACGCTGGAGGAAGTCTTTACCTATCTGTTCAATGTACTCCCTTATTCTTTGCTTGTTGCCCAGAATGCAACAGATACAAAGTGAGCACAAAAAAGTGTGGGTAGTATCCTCACAAAATTACCTGTATGAGAAAGCAATCTGGGCTGCTTTTTTATGGTATTTAGTCTTTAACATGTCCTTTTTTCTATACTTTGAAAGGTCAACAGAGCAACTTCAATATTATTCCCCAAATAGACACTGAAGCTACTCTAAGATCTACAAGGCAATTCCCCCTCAAAAAACAGATTTCAAATTATTAAGGCTGTAATTCAACTTTTGGCAGCCCTATTGCTTAAGCAGTTGTCTATTTCATCCCCTCCCACAAACTACTTGCTTCTGCCCCCCTTCTGCTCCATTTATTATGCCATCTGAACTGCTTCAGCAGTCAAGTGATCCAGCTGAAAAATAACCAGCTAATTTTTCCAGTCTGGTTCACCACATCTTCATTCAAAATCTCATGCCAATAGAACAGTGAAAACAGCTTCAGCTGGTACCACTGCCAAAACAGTGCTGGCCTAACCATGCCCTGTAGCAAACCCCTGGAACTATTTCTGCTGGGCTGGAAAAGCTCACAGGGATACCTCCAGATACAACAGCATCCGTCTCTGTCGCTATATCCCACTGAAAGAACCAAGAGCAGCATACTACTGAAACCTCACCTTGTGAGTAATAAACAAAATGTGTAAGATCTGTGAAAGCTTTTAATCCTTACAGTGAAAAGACTGAACCCCTCTCCCAGCCTAAGACAGCTCCTTTCAAATATGACTCTTCCAAGAGGGAAGGAATTGTCATAATAATGAGATTTGGCTCAGCTAGAAGTTAAGCACCAATTTCTGAAGAAAACTGCATAAAAATAATGACTGTTTTTATATGGAAACTATGTTGGAGCTCATAGGCACATGAAGCCCACAAGCTTGCCACAAAACGACCACTTTTAAAGAAGTGGTCAGGCAATTTATCTTAAAAAGACTCTTTATTTTAAACCATTGAATTTTTATCCTTACATATTAACAGACATTTTGCCTATGACTTGAGCAAAAGCAGGAGTGAGCTGTAATTGATAAAGTTTCCATAAAGATTCAACAGTTTGACATCATGCAGAACAAAAAAAGAATTAGAGGAGGAGCCATCCTGTATCCCAAAAGGTGTTTTGCTGGCACTTGGTGGTGGAAACATACGTAACACCATCCCTGACTTTAACCCTGGTAGGCAGCTAAGCACCATACAGTCGCTTGCTCACCCCCCCCACCCCCACCCCCAAGAGAATTGGAGGGGAAGAACTGAAAAAACTTGTGGCTTGAGATAAAGACAGTTTAATAAGTTAAGAAAAAAAAAAGTGAAAAGAAACAAAGGAAAACAAAACCAAGAAAAGTGATGCAAAAAACCCCAACTGCTTACCACTAGCTGACTGATTCCCGGCTGGACCCCGAGCAACACCAGCCCCAGCAAACTTCCCCCCTGTTTTTTATTTCTGAGCATGACATCATATGTTCTGCAGTACCCCTTTGGTCAGCTGGGGTCAGCTGTCCCAACTGTGTCCCCTCCCAACATCTTGTGCACCCCCAGCCTACTCACTGGTGGGGCAGCGTGAGAACCAGAGAAGGCCTTGATGCTGTGTAAGCAGTAGCTAAAACATGGGTGTGTAATCAACACTGTTTTCATCACAAATCCAAAATATATCACCACACTAACTGTATGAAGAAAATTAACTCTATCCAAGCCCAAACCAGTACACCATACTAATTTTTAAATAGGACAAAATTCCCCATTGCAAAGGAATTGTGGAAACTCAGCTATACCTAGCAAGATCTACATGCTGTTACTGTACTGGGCCAGACTCCTTGGAGGAGAAAAAAATCATTTACTATATGATGCTCATTATAGGATGCAAGTTGCTAAAAAAGATGTATCAAAAGTCACATTTATATCGATGCATTCAGTCGAGTTTCCCTTCCTTTTCAATGTCTCTTTCCCCACAAAGCACATGCACTGTGTCCAAATAGAAGAGGGGATGCCATAGGAATTAAGTTTGTTACATGAATATTGCTCTCATTCTAAGGAGCTGTTCTTTACAGTACAATATGTGTGAGACTTGTGCGTAAAATCCTGTAACCTATCAATTGCAAAATATAATAGGTCCTAAATTTACATTACAAGCACAAACTAACATCCTTCTAGAGCTTCTCCCTTACTGCCAAGATATGCTACATGGTGCATTAATCCACCCCCACACTGAATATGATGAGGTTATTAATTGAGACATTAGGGATTACTAAGATTATTCAACACAGCCAGGCCACTGACCTGCACCCATTAAAAACAGGAGCAATGTTAAAACTACATACACCAAGTCAAAGAAAAAGCCCATCAATTAATTCAATTGAGTTTTTAATTGAACCAGAACAATCTCTTTTATATGAAAGAAGAAAAAATAAACCAAAGCAAGCCACTTTGGAATGAAAACCTAGAAGATAATTGCATAGTGTCACAAATGTTCATAAAATTTGTGAGGCTTTTCTTTTTTCCCCCCAAAATCATACCAGATTAATTATTATTCTTATTAATCTTAATTCAGTATCATTAGAGATGCATTATATCCACACCATTCATTTTTGGAGAAAAGGACTTGAATTTCCCTGTGCCAAAGGCAATTAGTTCAGTGAGGTGAAAATTCAAATGGTAATAATGTATAACCTTCTAAGATGCACACTAGTGGGTCAGAGTTTGACGACTTTACTAATGTAGGGTTGTCTGTTTGTGCTTATATAGGACAAATCTCAAGCAGTACATGAGATATTGCACAGAAAAAATTTTACTTTAGATATCCAAAGCAGAACAGGAGGGAAGAAAACGTCAGTATAATGACATCATTATATTAAATAGACAAGGAATATGTCACAAAATGACATACAATAATCCAGGCTGCTCATACAAGTCACTTCTCCTTTCTAATGAATTTGAAGGTTCAGTGAGCTCAAGAGACTGTGACTACACAATGCTACCCTAGGGAAGGGGGGAAACGGAAAAGAGTTAACCTCCAACACTGCTGCAGCTGACAGAAACTCTTCTCAGCACAAGCTACCAAGGGTTTTATTTGCAGTGTGCACTGTATCGTGTTTCATCTGAGATGCCAGATCTGTTGCTTTGCTTACAACTACGATGCTTGTTTCCATGCTGCCACTGTCCCTGGACATAGAGCAAAAAGGCCCATGGAGACTTGCTTTGATAACTTGCTGAGCTCATTAAACTCACATACCCAAATCAGGAGTACAAAAAAAAAATTATTCTAACCTTCCAGGGTTAGTCTGAGTGAGCTGATATAAGAAAAGTGTCTCTTGGATATTTCTTTTTAAAAGAGAAACAAAATAAGTGAGGGGGGAGGGGAGGAGATAGCATCATACAGAAAGAAAGGGGATAGAATAGTATGTCAAAGATGCCTTCCATATTCTGGAGTGGTTGATGTGGGGAATTATCTGCAACTAAATGCTTTATAAAAATGGATTTCATTTTGGAACCAGGGAGTATAGATTTCTTTCTAGCATATAGCTAGCTGCTATGCTAGAAAACATGAAGAGTAAGTGTACTCAAAGAATATAAGGATGAATCAAAGACAGAAATATCATATACTTCATACCTTGATTGTAATATTCACAGTCATAAGCTAAAAGAAAAAGAAAACAAGCACATTATTATTACAAAATATCAACAGAATCTACGCATATCTGCATCCTAAAAATGTAAAATTCACTTTCGTCAGAGGAAGTTTCATCTCCCATAATGTATTTCGGTCAGTGACTTCATTTTCTTGGGCTTTTATTCAGTGACATACAGCTGTATTTAAATAGATGTGCCAGGACAGCAGACCTGAAGCATGACTTACTCTACAGCCAAGAGCCTTTCTCGCCGTCAGTGAAAAGTAGAATGAACTGAATCTCTTTGCAGCCCTACAGAGAAGACTGGATGTACCCCAGATTTGGTATACCAGTACCTTTCCAACAGTCTCCATGCTGGCACACCTGGAGCACAGCCAGTCCTCTTCAGTAAGACAGCAATTTTGGGTGTATAAGACTAACAGCTAACACACATACAGATTGAAAAATGTGAAGAAGTATATTCATTATCCACCTACTTCTCTCATATTTGTGTTACTGGGCAGCAAAAGGCCAAAGATGCCTCAAAGATGAGCTCTGGTGCAAGGCCAGCCTGGATACGTACCACAGAGCGATGGAGATCGCCAGTGAATCGCTGCTCCTTGCTGGCAGCATTTGTGGGCATAAGCTGCAATACTGGTACATAAGCACTCGCAGTCCCCGCCAAGATTGCAGTTGCACGTATCTGTGTGACAATTTTTGACAAAAGAAGTCACATCAATCTGGGGGGAAAAAAGAAAAAAAACAAAAAGAAGAGGGCTGGTGACTTAATTGCATGAGCTGTACAAATTCTTGTTGCACCATTTGCAGGAGGAGTGCTACCTCTGGACTGACAGAAAGAGCTTAACACAAAAATAAGGCATTTTCTAAGATTTGGGTACACTTCTATACAAAAAGTACACTTTGAATGATCAGCTTGTACCTATGGTTACAGGCCAAGAGAAAATTTCATTCAGTGACTATTAACAAGTATGCCTGTCCATGCACTTGCTGTTCATTGATTTTGGAGAGTACGTTGAAGCTGGCAGTTCTGTGCTTTTATAAGGCAAATACTGCCATCGTAAGTCATCCTGACAGTTTTGCATGAACAACAAAATCAGAGCTGCAGCTCTGATTACCAAGTAAATAAAGCAATAATTGGTCAGGTAAAGAAAGCTTGAGCACGCTGGTGACATTGTGCAGAAAAATATTTCTGCACTTATCAAGATTTTAATATACTTTGACCACAAACCTTCATTAGATCAGAAATCCACTTCCCCACTCTAAAATCCTATCACATTATTTAATGGTTTTACATGATACATTATTTCTTGGGTTTTAATAATCCTTTTTGTAATGTTGAGCAATGTTTCCAAAACAGCGTTCTTACTCAACACATGGAATGTTTAAAGCAATGCTTTTTTTTGGTTCAGACTCATTTTTAGACTCTGGTCTAGCTTAGTTGTAGAGCACTCAAATGGCACATGTCAGATTACAGAAATACCATCACAGTAACAAAGCAGCACTTATCTAACATGGAGACAGCTTCTCAGCTGGCAGTTGCTAGAAGCTGGCAGGGATACGAAGACTGTTCCTCTGCATTCAGTGGAGAGAGATGCCATTTTGCTTTCATTCTTTTTCTTATTTTGAAAACAGGGATACCAGCGGGGTGGGGGCACGAGCATTAGCTCCATTGAAAATGGCTGTCATAGCTTTGCAGGAACCACCAAACAGCAGGGTGGCTCCAAAGAGCTCACCCTGTCTTTTACATCTGCAGGACAGCATCTCTCCCTGGGTCAGCAGTATCCCATCGTTGCGGCAAACTGGGAGCCCAGGGTCAAAGCTCCTGCTGAGTTCAGGAGTTAGGAGGAAGATCCTTTTTTCTGTGAGTGTCAAGGCTACTCAGCCCCCACTGAGTTCAGTGCTCAGCTGGGGCAACTGCAATCCATCAGTCACTGCCAGCCAGAGATGCAAGATTTTGTCTCCCTGAAAACAGGGTTTTTCAGCCTCAGCTGAACTCTGAGGCTGCCTGTCCCATGGGCAGGAACTTGCCTCCATGCACAGCAGGATCTGGCACCACTCGCACAGAAGGAACGACTTGTAAGAGCGCTGCTCCAAGCACATCCTGAAACCCACATCTACACTTTCTGTTCCTTCCATGCCCCCAGTGTCAGTCTCTGCCTGGGCTTTTTTGAACTTGGCACGCAGTCCCCACCCCTGCAGCCAGCTGCAGATATCTTTGATAGGAGGTCACTTTATGTTACATCTGTAAGACCTGTATTTTCACGTGCTGATGAATAGGTTGTAAAAACACCTGAAAGATGTTTGCTTTACAGGCTGTCCCATGTGGGATAGATAAGTGCATGTGAAAATACTTGACTACAAATTAAATGGCATGTTTTGCACCTGACATGCATTTTTTAACTTAATTATGCATTTTTGGCACAATGTTTGCAAATTCTAATCACAACATGGATAAGATATGGAAAATTAATGTTCAAGAGAAAATATCTTTCTTCATGAGTTATTATAATACAGCTCCTTAAAAACTCTCAAAAGTTCCATTTTTATTTGTTACTTTCCACTTTGAAAATACACTCATCACTATGTTCTCAGGCACATGCTCAAAAAATTCTTCACATAGTAACTAAAGTCAACATTAATAAATCTCTCGGGTTAAGCTACTGCAACCTCCTCCTCAGGCAAATTCCTAACCATGTTGATATCAAACTTCAGTCCTGAAGGTCAGGAGGTTCAGCTGGGACATCTAATAATTTCATTTAGTATTAATAGTCATAAAGAAAATAAAAGAATGAGATGAAATGTCATAGTGGTTCTTGCTTGCACAGGTGTAAAGAAGCACCTTTGATAACTAAATACCTTTGGGAGGCTAAAATCAGAAATAGGGAAAAATATGCAGAGCATGTCTTGCGTTGATAAAGAATGGAATAAAATGGAATAAAAGGTTCGCACACAAGCTATTGTTGTCCCCATCTTGTCTAGACTGAACTTAAGGACATTTCTGTAACTCAAGTCCCAGCCTCAGCCCAGGTATTGGGAAAACAAAGACACCAAAGATCAGAGTGTTGATAAAAAGCAGATGATAAGCTGTCAGCCAATTAAAAACACCAACAGCTCTGAAGCTGAAATCTTGCTCGCTCATATTGCTTTCTATATTGAGCAGGACAGTTAACAAAAGAAAACCATTTGAGATAAGCTTCAGGCACATTACACAAACGCTTATTTGAGAATCCTGCAAAATATACAAAAGCCTTAAAAATTTAGTTACCTATATAAATAAAAGATATAAATAAAACCTAAAGAGAACAGAACCTTGATTATCCAGTCTACTAACTCATGGCTCCCAGTTATCACTCTGATGTTTAGACTCCAGTTTTGATAGGAACAAGGAGCTCTGTACAAACATAGCCCACCCACATAGAGATACTTGCAGGGCTCAACTCAGTATCCTCCACGGCATTCAGACTGAGGGGAACGACAAGAAGAAATTAATTACTGGAATTTTAATATTTTCCTACATGAGAGCACTGCTGGGACATTTAATAAACTTACCACGTTGCGACAAGGTGCAAAAACATCACTGTATAAAATTGAGCATTCCTTTTTGGCATAAGGGAACTTGCTCTGATGTACCTCACATGGTCTCAGTGTTTCATTTGGGCTCTTGCACTTAAAAATAAGCAAAAAACACCACAAACATTTTTTACAAAGGTGTATTTACCATGGACTCAGGTACACTGTAGTATCATATAATCCAATACGTGCACACTCAGAAAACAAAAATAAAGTTTAAATGCTATCTTCTTCATCTTCCCCTTTCCCTGTTTTGTTGTTATAATTGAAAACATTTTTACAAAAAAAGAGTCTTTGTGTTTTGTTCTGAAGTACTAAAATGTTCCTGCCGTCTGCTCAGCACATAAAGACAAAATGTTTTCTTTGTGACACATTATAATCATTACCAGAGCAACCAGCTGTAACATCACAAACAAATACATGGTCCAACTCCATCCCTGGTGGTTTTGCACTGACTTTAAATGGAGTCACACTACAGACAGTTTTAGCCCTGTAAGTTCAAATAAAGAAGCAGCGGTAGGAAGAGAGCAACCCATAAAAAAAAGAAGAGTCAAAGATCATCGTGATAACTGAAAAATGGCTGAGATACAACTCCCTCTCTTAAAGTATCTCTTCAAGAACAAAAACAAGTGACAGAAAAATATAACAAAACGACACTCAACTCAGAAAACACGAGTTCATCCAAAACCATACTCTCTTGGTGCAGCAGGGAAGCCCAGGAGTGGGTAATGATGGATCCATAGGCGGCATTGGGGTGTCCCAACGTGGCCTCAGCTGCAGTGCAGTCGCCCACCTATGCTGTCCTCCTGTGTGGATGCTCAGACGCCACTGCCATGGGGGGACCTGCTGCCACTCCCAGGAGGGAAAAACCCTGGAAGCACCCCACGCTTCACAGTGCTGGTGCAAGCACATTTGCTAGTAGCAGAGTTGGGTTCTAGGCCTCCAGCTATCAAATACTCCTTTATAGTATTTAGATTTTGCAGAAAAGATGACCAGGATACATCTCTATGAAGGCCAAAGGTCCTTTCTGAAAAAGTCCCTAACGCCTACTGCAGAGGCAGATGAAGTGTCAAGTCTGGCTGAGTGCACGCTGCCTGCGAGGCCAATATTGAACTCAGATCCCGAGTGCTCTGGCAGCCACAGAGGCTGGAAGATTACATGAGATTTTACAAAAATATGTATATATGGCCACAAAAAGGCAAGTGCAAGTTTGGGCTGCATAAGCAAAGGTGTGCTAGAAGTTAATATGCTGTGCAAACACCACACGCTTTTTTAAAGCAGCCACTGTACTAATAAATTAGAAAAGAAAAATTAATACACTTTGTACAAAGTATTTACACATTTCTTTATGTACCACCTTCTAGATGAGAAGTATAACCACCAACATTACACATTTGCTTTGCTTGCTCACACAATTTAAACATTTTATGTAAAGTAAAATAGATCCAACGGGAGATACTGAGAGAAGCCTCAAAATCTTTTCTCCAAAGCAGAATAGGTATCCTATTCTTTCATGAGGTGAGAGATTTTGGTTCAATTTCCTTCTGCGAGTCAAGGAGAGAACAGGTGAAAAACTGGTTCTCACAGAAATCCTGAGGGAGTGCTTTACATATACTGATTTTTCAGGAGGTTCACAAGGCTATATATATATATAAAATCTTACATCTTCTCAGCACAAATTAACAAAATATCTATTCTCCTGTGTTATAAAACACCATTGCTGTCATCCACTCTCTGCAGCCTCTTCCCTTCTCAGAAACCAAGTTTCCGTACTCGGTTGTACCTGTTGTTGTTCTGAGCCTTTTCTGTCTCACCCCTTTGTCACTGCTGCTTTGTCAGTTTGGTTTCTGTTTACAAACTGCAACTAAAAAAAATAACCTTTTTTTTTTTTTCAGTGTTCAGAAAGAAACTTTTTTCCAGACTTTTTTTTCCAGCATTCAGACTCTATTTACTTTCAATATCCTGATGCCTCCAATACCAGAGAAAGTACAATTGTTTTTAAAATTGGGCTGAATCCAAAATATCAGAAGCAATGTACCTAACTTTGTAGAAAACTGAAATCCAGACAGCTATGATAATTATCTTATACAGGGAAAAATATATTCTTCCCTAAAGAGATTGTTTGGCTTCATTTAAATCCAGTATATGTTTGCTATGACATAAGACATTATTAACACATTTCACATGTGCAGACATAAAAATTAAAATGTCCTCTTATACACTGGCCATGAGTTTAGAAAATCCCTGTATACCACGTGCTTATAACATGTTCAACGATAAATTAACGTTAGCATCCTTTTTTTTCTAATTTTTTTCCGGATGTGGGACTTACCTGTCCTAATACCCAGCTGTCTCCAAACACCTGCGCATTTCTCACCTCCATGTTGTTTGATGTAGTCAGATCATTTGAAGTATATTTGTCAAAATTTCCACACAAACCTGCCAGTTTACCCTAAAAGAGAAGATGGATTTTTTTTTTTTTTACATATACTGATAGTCAATAATCAGTACAAATGACATACATGGAATAAAACATTCTTAAACTGAAAAAGGTGAATGCAACTCTGACTTGTACTTTGAAAATATCAGATACTCTACTATGCTTCCAGTTCCATTTTGCAAATAACTTTTAATAGAAATGTATGGTTTCCTTTTTCCTTGCTGTTTTCCAGAACCTGTTCTTACAGTCTGCCTGTGAAAAGGGACTGGAATCTAGTCATATTTTTTTCTAAAGGCTTAGTAGTGCATGCAGTCCAAAAGTCAAAAGTTCAGGTGAATTACCTCATGGTTGTGAAGCCTGACTAGTTGTTGTCATTAAAACTTGCTGCCTCTAATTTTAACTTACAATAGCAAGAACATTTGTAATAGCAGTTAGAAAAGATACAGGGGCAACTTTCTTGTGTTGGGGCATGTGCTGCTGATGGAAAAAGTATATATACATGCATATACACATACTTATATAAACAAAAAGATATTTCTGCACAACAGTAAAACGTAGAGTTGGATTTCTAGGGTGCTATGGCTGACTCTAATTAATTCTTTTTCCTTAACGTCTGCTGCAGACATGATCTTACTGAACTGGAGCCTCTGGAAGAAACAGTCATTGGAAACAGAAAGAGCTTGAAATATTTGTGTCCCTGCATACAACCTCTAGAACTCAGCTCCCTGCTAGCTTACTCAAAAACAGAAGAATTTTTTTTCATTATGTGTATTGATGACTGATAAATCAGCTTGTATGTGAAGTAAGCATTTCATGGCTGTTGGAAAAAAAGCCTATAATAATGTCGCTTTAAAAACAGATTACATGGTCTTTGTAACTTTGACTTACACTTCAAAAAAATCTGATATTGTATTCTAGCATAGAATGCTTTCTTTTCTTTTACTGGAAAGAGCCCCCTCTCAATATCTGTGTTCATGGTTGAGACAAAGCAGAAATGTAATTATGGAATGTGCAGATAAGGTTGCTCTGCCAGCACCCAAAGACCGAGTTGCAGAGACACCAAGGCAGATGATGATGTCGGAATGGAACAGAGAAGAGCAACTGGCAAGAGAAGGAGCCTCATATTCTTCCCTGCATCATGGCTGAACCCTGTCACAGTATATTTATTAGGTTTAAATGTCAGGTTTTTGTCTAGATCCTTTCCTGTATCTTGTCTTCTTAATTTAAACTCAAGATGTGAAACCATCTGTTCATCTCAGCAGCCTCTACTACATCTCAGGGTGCAGTTCCATCATCAGCCTAATCCCATCTGTGCTACAAACCTGCCGTCTTCCACGTCACTAGATATGGAAGCTTCTTTTCCATTTGCTTCAGCAATTATGAAAACGTGGTGAAGTGGGTAACTCAAAACTAACCCTCTGCTCCCACCCCCAGAAGCAACTCTGAGTCAGAGCTGAATCACCGCATATCTGCAAGGTTGCAATGTGTGGAGCAACAGCATAAACATGCATGTAGGAACCACCCCTTCTCTTCAGGAGCCCAGCCATTAAATCACATTCTCCATCTCTTCTTACCTGGGAAACATTAGCAGCTGAACACCATGATAAACAGCTATATCACTGGGAAAGTTAGGCATGAAGGAAAGACAATCACAGTTATTCTGTGACAGACCACATTAGCAACACAGAGCGCTACACAAAATCTCAGGTTCTTATTTTGGCTCACCTTCCATTGAGGTCCAACTTTAACATGCATCATTGTCTTCTTATCCCATAGAATTGTAATGTCCTGTTCTGGAAAGTGTATCACAGTATAATATCCAGCCTTCCAAAGCTGATAGTTAGATTTTTTTTCCTGTCCCCTTAAGGTCTTCTGACAGAAATGAATATTTATTAAGATCTAATGAAGTACTTCTACCAAGATATACAGCCAATTAATAACAAAGTGTATACTGAAGAATACTTTATCTTTAGCAGATAGCTGGATCAATAATATTACTAGAAATGTTGTGTATTACTTTGATTTTATTTTTTTCAATCATTCAAGTTTGCTTTGATTTTGCACTTTGGTTTCCCTTTCAAAACCACGTGGAAAGAAACAAGTAAATGCCGATATGCTTCAACTGCTTTAGGCTTTTGAGCAGTCGTCTCTGTAGGATAAATAGAACTTAAAAAAAACAATGAAAACTTAAGATTTTTCCTGGGACCTGCTGCTTTATCCAGGCCTAGGCACTTCTATTATGTTAACTCAGAGACATTTTCCAAACCCATGCTCCTTTAGAGTTGTAACTTTACAATGCTTATCTTAAAGGGCAACCCGAAAAGGAAAGAAAATAACTAACCTGCTTCTCAGAAGGTTCACTAAAATAAATCTCAGTATCTCCAACAGTGATGAAAACATTCTTCGAGCAAACAATATCATTGTCAAAGCACTTTTTGTTCTGAGCAATTATAGATATATTTGAGTTATCTGTGCTCTGCAATATGAAGAAGAAATTATTTTACTTATAGATTCAATTGCATTTCACTCCTGTAGATTTATTCCAGTCTTACCATCACAAAAGATGGATAACTTAGTACTTACACATCTTTGAAATTAAATTTAAGAAAGCTACCAAACAAGGAAATGTGTTTTTAAATTCAAAGCTGAACCCACAACCAACTCAAACTTCAGAGTTAAACAAAAAGAGCCACTACGTTCAGCTGCGAGTCCTCTTTCTGAGGACTTTACAAACTCAGAAGCTCAGCCTGCCCCTAAAATAAGAGTCTGGTTTAGCCTTTTAAAATGTGCTCATAAGTGGAATCCAATATTTACTGCACAGTATGGTTGTCAAAATTGAGACATGCTATAAAAAGAGCTTTATTTTTAAACCAAGGTACATGAGATCAAGCTGGTTTCATATTTTTAAAACCAAGAAACCTAACATCTCTCAGTGCTAGATAGAACAATTTTTGTATCACCACCCATCAAAATTCACAAAACCATGAGGCATACTCAATGTTATTGGAGGGGGCAAAGGTTTCTGCTGATACTTTTGTTTGGGTTTTTTTCTTTAATATTTAGATTTTTCTACTCTGTTGCCTTTTGATTTGCTGGTGGTTTAGTACCCAGAATTCAAATTTACTGCCTTCCCAATCCCACATCTGTTGGCTCTCCGGCCTGTAAATTAATTTTGCATTCTAGGCACATAAAATCACTTTTGCATCTTGGCTCAACATGTCTGTTTATTCACCTACAGCTTCTGTGGTTCTGTACCCTGAGGGAAACACACACACAGCTTGTAATTCCCCATGCTAGGATTAGTACTGGAACAAAGGAGGCCAGCTCTGTTGTCAGAGCTGATAACACTAACACAAACAAAACCAAAGTTGAGTTATTCTTATTGATTCTTATTTTAATTTGCCTTTCAATTCATTTCTGTACCAATCCTTGCAAGTCAACAAGTCGTAACTATAGAAAAGACTTGAGAGCATTAACTTCAAAACATCTATGTAAGCCACTAACAGTGCTTCTGAATCCAGCTTAATTTCTGATCAAATTCAGACCTTACAAACCTGAGACAGATATGAAATTAAAATCTTGGAGGTGGCAAGCTATGTGTCTCACCCACTGAGTCATCCAGTCTTATATGAGACACTTGGGTAGTGCTGGAAACATAAATATGTTTAAACTTCTCTTCTTATTCCCACCCTCTCTTAAACACTCTCTGAAACTATGACAAGCCAAAACTAATTGCAGGTGCTAACAGGCACAGTGGGCAAGATGGGAATGATGGCTTTCAGCATTTCCCCAGTCCTGGGAACTCACCTTGGCTCTCAGCAATGCTCTTGAAGAGCTCCACTTGGCCAGAATGGGAGGGATCCCTCACCTTGGCTTGTGCCCACAGCATCTCTCCCCAGAGCGTTGCTCCCTCTCTTGATCAGCGTAGCCCTGAAAGGTGCTGGGTAAATCCTCCTAACTACTCCTTGCCTGTCTCACATTTGTACCCTTATTTGCTTTGTGCTCATCAGAATTCAAGAATAAAAATCCATATCAACAATTTTTCCTCACCAGTGAGAAGCATTACACACAGAAAGTATGGGTGCTATAGGAAGCAGCTTTTTCTTTCCCCTTAATAAAAGTCATAGTGACCAAGCTGTTTAAAGAAAACATTCAATAAAAAAAAAAAAAACCAAAACCAACCAAAAACAAACAAAAAAACCCCCAAAAATGATGATGGGAATTGTAGATGTATTTTTATTGCCACACAGAGGAGGTGCTACAGCTTTGCTGCCCTTAGTCTAGCCTGGCCCACAAGCCAGAGGATGCTGCTACTTGGCATAGAAAACACTCTACAGCAAGCACGAGTGAATGCAATGAACTTAAGGTATGGGAGACTGCCTGCAAGCTTTATGGTGCCCTGATGCCAGGACTTAAGAAACAGGTGGTACGTGTTAGCAATTAGCTTGGAAGACAACAGTTAAGGTGGCTAAAGTTAGCCACTAGCTGCTAGTGGTAAGGGGGTATAGGAAATCAGCTCTTCAGGATGTGGTAGGGGAACTCAGCTTAAAAGAACTGAAAGCTTCAGGGTAAAGCAAAGTTTGTCTATTCCATTCTGTTGTAAAGTTGTTTTAGGTTGCACTCAGAATAAAATTGGTCACTACCTTTTTGGGAAATACACTGTGTTTTAATTAAGCCAGGCTTGCTGCTGGAGTCAGTCCAGTAATTATTCCCCTCCAAGTCAGATAACAGCCCAGAGCATTTTTGGATTTATTGGAGGTGATGTGATAAATTAAAAAGGAGACAAACTCATTAGTTTGATAGATAGGATGCAAGCTGATACATTCTGTGCTGGCCAAATGAAAACTGAGCAAAGAAGCTACCTCCCCACCATGAGTCAGTTCAGAAAAGGACTTTGCTTGCAGTCTATGGGTCTATTTGATGCCTAGGACATCGTGGGCTGTTTTCATTGCAGAGTTCATTCCTCTTCAGTTCGCTTAGCCTCAGCAAAAGGGGACACTCTGAGTTAATAGGCAAGCAATTGTCTTCACTGTAAGAAAAGAGATGGAGGGCTTTATTTTAAATAAGGATAGTTAATTCAGGCTAATTATCCCACAGTAAAAATACACCTTTTTTGGCAATGAAGACAAGTTCTTGGAGCAGCACTGGGTAGCTGTATTAGCTATGCTAAAGAAGCTGCTGCCTGTGCCTTCTGACAGCGCAGGCCAATCCCTTCAGCTGAACAGCATCAACATACTCAAGTCAGAAGTTTTTGTGTATGGTTGGGATTTGAGCCAAGGGCAAGAGTTGAGTTATATTTCAAGTTAACTCTGCAGTAGGGAGAAGCCTGGAGACAGGGAGTGTTTTGCTGACCAAAGCCAGAACAGGGAGTCCTGAAGACATGTGAAGTACTTCCTTGCTTGTAGGGCTGCATGTTGGTGTTAAGTTACTAGAAATGATGCAGGATGGAAATGCAGAGATGGTGGTGGTGGTTTAGTAAAGCTATGAGTAAAACAGACATTTGAGAAAAAGGGCTTTGCATTAAATACTGAGTCGTCTGTGCTTTCTCTCTTTCTAATTAAATCTTAGACCTAAACCCAAATATAAAAACACAATTATGGATTATGTATCTCTTGTGGCTCAGAGCTTTCATGGTAAGATTTACTTTACATACATACCCTTGCCATTGTCTCCATACACCTCAGTAAAAATTGCATCTTTTCCCACCCGTACAGTACCAGCCAAATTCAAAGTTGAGTGGCAGTTTCTATCCTGGTTTTCAAATTATTCTGTAACTGCTATATGTACAGCCTCTGCTTTCAGCAGGGAAGAAATAAAGTGCAATTGAAACTTTGCACTTAACTATTGCCAATGCAAAAGAAAGAACAGGGACTCTTAAGATAAAGTGAGGATCATCTTCTAATGTTTGTATGAGACAGTGAGTTCTTGGGCAAATCTTGACAGCTCTTAGGGACTGTAATAGTATAAGTGATAATGATTGAGTTCCAGCTCTCTAATCTGCACTGGATCCACACAGGTATGAGAACAAGCTTTTGTCACTAGTGCTGGAAGAAATGTCTGAGTAGACACTAGGAGCAGGTCTAATGAATAACAAGGTGGTGATGGGGGGGGTGGTTTTCTTTTTTTTTTTTTTTTGGCACAGTCTCTTTCCAAGGCAGAGTCGCTCTTTACCTTTTTAGGTAAAATGCACCCAACAGGAGATGTACTACAGTTCATCATGTGAAACCTACTTACGCTGACAGAAACTAGAAATAAAATGGTTTTCCCACTGCAAGAGTATCTTCCCACGTAAATTACCATATCCAGCCTGTTCCAACTTAATATCAGTTTCTTTGTGATAACATGGAGTTGCCAAGCAACAGGGAAGACAGAGTCACAGCTCCGGGCAGTCAGTCAAAAGCTCATTGTCAGTCCCGCTTCTCAGGACATTCTTTTTCTAGACTTCACTGCACTTTTTTTTCCATATTTCTCCCTAGCCAAAAAAGCAAAGCACTGCTTTCCCTTTTTTTTTTTTTTTTCTTTTAGTAGTGCTTGGGAATGCTAGAGTTTATTTTTGTTAGAAACTTTCTATTTCAATACCCCGTTAGAAATTTTCTATCACTATTAACCAACAACACTGTGCAGTGTGCTTACATAGTCAAAATGCAAAATGCAGCCTGGGAGAAGACAAGTTAAAAGTGGCTGGTTTTACCTTCTTTGAAAGTGTTATTAAAATCTCTCAAACTGTTCAGTGTAAAGACTCATGCTTTTCCATTCTTAATAGCCTGATTCCTCCCACACACACACTTTTTTTTGTTCCCTACAATACACTAACTAGCAAACTAGGATGGCCATAAAAGCATCTAGGGACATACTGGGAACTGGACAGAGACAGATTAATCCCATTTTCCTTTAATTTTAATGACTCTTTAGAGGTTTTCATATATAGCCACATGCACAAACAAATGCAAAATCTCTAAAAAAAAGAAAAAATAATACAGTAGTTTAAAAAGTAGAATTTGCTTTCTCCTTCCTACATATTTTCAGAAAGATACCATTAGCTCTGTTCAGACTTAATCTTTCAGGAAATTTCACAGAAACAGAATTAGTTTGGTCACTGTTCATTCAGCTCTGAGTTTCTTCTGAAGAAACTTAACATTTGAAACTATTACTTCTAGAGAGCTTGATCCTAGGAGAAATAAAACATCTTAGCCCAGATTTAGTGAGCATTTAGGCATAAATATTTAAGTGTTTTTGAGAGAAGACAAATGCCTTGGCATCTGACATGATCTTGCTCTGTTAGTTTCTTGTGGCATTTTAGGGGGGGATTGAACTCCAGATAATCAGTGAAAAAACATTAATTATGCAAAACTCATTCACAATTTACACCAAGAAGCATCTCCTATTGAAAGGCTTCTTTCGTTTTGCTGGTGTGATAATTTCTTCTGTACCATTTCAAAATCATATATATACATTCTGTGTAACTTTATTTAATCC